ACATCCTGGATTCTTATCCAGGGGAATGAGGCGGCAGGCCGTCAGAGCATGAAGGTGTTGGCAGCACGAGGATGCCAGCTTTCTTGCAAGGACGGCAATGGCCGTGCAGAGATCACTTGCTACTACTATCATCATCATCATCATCATCATTATTATTATTATTATTATTATTATTATCATTATTACTATTATTATTATTTTTATTATTATTATATTTCGCCCTCCAGGCCCTGATGTGGGTCAGTGACCTGTGCCCGGGTGGGCTAATCCCCGAAAAAAAAAAGCTTCTACACCTTAAACAAATTCACGCCCAGGTGGTCCCTAGGCCGACCATCCTCGATTTCGAGGGACTTCCATTATTTAATGGTAATTTGTGAAATTACTGATAACCCCTGCAAGACTATTTGGCCAATTTTACTGAAATACTCATAGTACTAGATACCTAGCCTTCAGTATCGATACTTTCAAGTACACAGTATGGCTGGTATCGGAAATATCGGTACTCACCATTACAACGCACAACATGCGAAGTGCTAAGTAATGATGACAGAGATTGACAGCTTCTTATAATTCAAAACTCAAGATAAGGCACGAAGCTTGTTATCAAAAAGAACATGTCAGTCAGTCTGGGTGCTGATGATATAGTCATATGACCAGGTAAGTTAAACTTTAAATATGAGTAGGTCTAATCTTCTAATAACGGACAAAAGGGTGATTAAACAGAAGTCTTTATGTAACCTTAAAGGACATTAGTAAGTCCAGTACGGATGCCCTCCCCACTCCAGAAGTTATAGCCTCAGGTTGAAGAACATAAATTGGTCAGGGCAAACGTTGGTTTGTATTGACGACTGACCTGCTGCCCAGTTATTTGTTTTGGTGTATATTTTCTTAATATATTTTCATATTTTCATCAGTGAGTACTGATATAATAATAATTTCTTGTGTAAATGCTTCTATTTGTAGATATTTAGGTGCTCAAGGTGCATACTACTTTGTCTTCTTGGCGGTAATGCGGCAGGTTAGGTTAGGTTAGGTTAGGTTAGGTGGTAAATATGAATATTGCAGCAACCTTGGAATTTGAAGAAAAAAATGGTTTTCTGATGGAATTTGATGTGATTAGTTCAAATGTGACCTTTGTTTTTGTCAGAAATAACTCGTTTATGATTTAACCCCCTTGCCATCCCTATAACAATACTGGGGAAGAGCATGGCAATTCGGGGGTCTTGGGTGGGGGTTGAGGAAAAAAACGAGTGATTTGTGGATTATACAATATAACCAAACTAAACCTGAGACGTGACCGATCGCCCAAGTGGCTAACGAGCCGATCAGTGGTGAAGAGGATAAAAGTAAAAAGTAAAGGTAAAAAAGTAACCAACTAACCGGGGGCTCTGCCCCCGGACCCCCGGTGGCCCTAGCAGGGTACTTCGCCCCTGGCTAGGACCATGTACTAGGTAATAACCCAGGGTTGCATGGTCAGCCTCCACAATAATATAAATAGCCATTACAGTATTTCTTACCTTACTCGGAGTCAGGGTCATAGTGAGTCAGAGACAGGTGCTCTGATTTTATTCTTTTTAAAATCAATAACTTCATTATTATAAATTTGCGACAGAAGTGTATTTAATAAATTTATAATAGAAATATAGTTATAGCGATTGAGTGAAGTGAATTTCTGGAATTCTTTGGTTGCAGTAATCTGCACAATTACTGGTTAGGTTAGGCAAGGCTGGGCTGGTCTGGTCTGGTCTGGTCTGGTCTGGTCTGGTCTGGGCTGGTTATGTTAGGTTAAGTTATAAAAAAGTGCACAAACTACGAGTGTCTTCTATGAAATAGTGAAATTGCGGCGTTTTGATAATCTTTTATTATGCAAAATCGCCAGCTGGTCAGTCATCGATAATTACCCAAACTTTTTTGAAATCACAAGAGAAATGATAAAAAAAACAAGTGAAAGCTAAGGGTGAGGTTAAGGGTTCTGCTATAGCATGCAGTCTATAAGTAGGTAAGGTTAGGTACAGTATATATTTAAATAAAATGTGATAAATTTTTAATGCCCAAATTGTGACTTTTTTTGTTATTTTTTTCCTATGTTGTGCAATGTGTTTTTCCGATGATTTAGACAATTTTAAGGTAAAATTTCGTTTTGGCCATCCCCATGTTTTTCTGATGGTTTTTGTGTTTTGAATGATTTTGATCATGCCTAACCTAACCAACCTACCCTATCCAGGGAGGTACCAGACCCTAACCCTCCCTAAGTTTCCTGGATGACCAAAACGATAATAATGCCAATTTTAAGACACTTTTCTTCTATGATGATTCTCTTGCAAATGAATTAAATATACCAGAGGATCGGGGGCAGAGCTTCTGGTTAAAAGGTTAGGTTAGGTAATTTTACATCATTTGCAAGGGAAACATCATTCAAGAAACATCTCTTAAAATTGTCTAATCATCGGAAAAACACATTGCTCAACTCTGTTGCCTGACTTGACCTACACATTTCGGAGCCTGTGTATGCCCAGTATTTACCAACAGTGCAAAAGAGAGACACGAACGACGAAATGTAGGAAAAAAGTCACGAGAAAATTGATGTATGACCAAAGAAAACATTAAAATTAAACCAGCCAACCTAACCTAACCTAACCTAACCTAACCTAACCTAATCCAATCCAATCCAATTTAACCTAAGCTTACTCAACTTAACCTAACTTGTTTTTGGTATTAAAAAAAAATAAAAACATTCCTATGACCCCTTTCCTAACTAAAATTGCGACTTTTTTCCGAAACAAAACTGCGAATGACCGTCTTGTCACTGGTGAAGAGGATAAAATAAATAAAGAATAAATGCCTTTGCTGTATATACATTTGGGGAGTCTGGTAACTTTCTGAAGTAGTAGATACTGCTACATTATTTTTACTTTATCGTATTTACCTAATGGCCATCCACAGGGAAGAAGACCAGTGGCCAGTATAGGATCCCTCCAGTGTTCTTGATAATTTTGTCAAGAGCTATTTTGAACCCCAGTACTGTTTGTGATTCAACAGCTTGGCAGGGCTGCTGAGAGCTGGCACTGGACCAGTATCATCTCACTTGGACGGTCGTCTATTATGTGCAAGTTTTACCATCTTAACTAAATGATCAGGTTAGGTTAGATTAGGTTACGTTAAATCACATTAAACAGACGATCGTCCAAGTGGGATGTAATCATTGGACCTGGTGCAAGAGGCATGCTTGGGCCCCACTCCCTAACCTTATTCCCAGCCAAATTTTACTACAGTATAGTATATACTGTATATACATATATACATATCCATATATATACAGGTTGACAGCCCTTTATCCGAAATTCCGAAAACCGAAAAGCTCTGAAAACCGTTTTTTTTTTTGGAGCTTTTTTTATTTTTATTTTTTTTTTATTTATTTTTTTTTTATTAGCCACCCGGGCACATGTCACTGACCCACATCGGGGCCTGGGGGGTGAAAATTTAATAGTAATAATAATTATAATAATACAGGTAATAATAATAATGATAATACAGTAATAATAATAATTATTCATAGTAAATAAAATTTTTAATAAAAAATACACAAAAATAAAATAAGAATGATAACAATAATAATAATAATAATAATAATAGTAATAATAATAATACTGTAATAATGAAATAATAATAATAATAATAAAGAAATACAAGAATGAAAAAAAAGATCAAAAGTGAGAAACATGACCTAGACATATCAATTTTTATTATTATTATTATTATTATTATTATTATTATAATTATTATAATTATTATTATTATTATTATTATTATTATTATTATTATTATTATTATAATAATTATAATAATTATTATTATTATTATTATTATTATTATTATTATTATTATTATTATTATTATTATTATTATTATTATAGGCCCCAATGTGAGTCAGTGACCTGCTGTGCTCGAGTGGGCTGATCCCTGTAAAAAAAAAAAAAAAAAATATCTAACCATTCTGAAATCCGAAAAATTCCAAAAACCAAAATGCATCTGGTCCCAAGGATTTCGGATAAGGGATTGTCAACCTGTACACATATACATACATACATAGGTACATACACACACATACATGCATATACGTAGGTCAGATTCATGTGGGTAATTTCACTCTTCACCGCCATACAGGACAGAGGTTCGTACACAAAGAATGCATCATATTCATTGACACTATATATAGGTCAGATTCATGTGGGTAATGCCACTGTTCACTGCCATGCAGGACAGAGGTTCGTACACAAAGTATATATAGGTCAGTGGATCACATACATTGGAGTCATATTCTAAATGAAGACTAATCAGTGTGGGCTAGCAAATTTGGGATAAACAGCAAAAATGTCCTCAAGCACCCCTGATTCAATGTAGTAATTACATAGTTCAAGATACAATAAGCACAATCATTGACGTTGGGACTCGAATATACGTAATTTGACAAAATTTTGGTACGACTAAGGCGGTCGCATGTCCGGGTGGTCATAAGTTGAGTAGGTCGTTAGTCGGGGAGGAGCTATAAACAGTTATTAGTCATAAGAATGGGGTAACTGGGCAAAACACAGCAGCAGCAATGTTGACTCCTAGTGTTTTGATGGCAGGAGCTTCAGTTTGCCCCAGTCGTCGCTAGGTGGCAGCATCTACTGGGCCGGCGCATAATTCAAACCCTGAAGGACTGTAGTCGAGTTACGCGTTAACAGAAAGCTTTTTTGTGAATGTGGACTAAAGTCGATTTACGCGGTGAAGAACAAAAATAAAAAAAATATGAATAAAGTTCAGCCACGCGGTGAAAGGGTTAAGAGTCTAGTTGGCATTCTCTGATTCTTAGAATTCTGTAAAAAAGATTAATTTTTGTAAATTTATGCAATGTACAGTAACATCTTTTCAGGTACAGGAATTCTCAAATGCTGTAGTAGAAAAATAAAAATGGCTGAGACACGTAAACTGCAATGTGTTGAAGACTTGAAAAAGGAGAGAGCTAATTGCACCTTTAGCACTGAGGAACTTACAAATATTATAGATGACGGAAAAAAGAAAACTGGTCTGCGTCGAGAAATAGGTAAGTAGTACACTATAGTACTGTACCTGTATACTTTATTGTTGTTAACGCTCATAGGAGCGTTATTGGTTTGTTGCTGGAGAAATAAACCCTCAACGTTGACGCGTACCATATAATTCGGTCAAAACCTGTTAAAGAACATTTCTCATATAACAAATGCTGTTATCTCAGGACACATATTATGAAATACAATCAATATACAGTACATACCCTGTTAACATCTTAAATATAACTCGCATGTTATAACTATTGATACAGGAGACAATTGGTATAATATGATCAAATTGCAGTACACAAATATACTTATTAAAGTTATTTAGAGTTTCTTAGCAGATTCTAATACTTCACGATCACTCACGTTTTAGGGTCTAGTGGTCTGAACCAACGTGTTGTCTGTCCTGTAGAAATCAGTAGACTACCCTCGAGGGCAATCTCAGCCCGGAGGCGAGGGCCATATGTTTTCGTATTGAAACACCTCAGCAGATTGGTCAGCAAATTCATTGTCAACACTATATCTCTTATCTCATCCCCTCTCTCTCGCCTAGTTTATCTTATTATGGTTATCCCTCTCTTTCTCTCTCTTCTAGCTTATCTTACTGTGGCTGTAACAATTGTATTGCACAGTATTGTTTTCCTTTGTTCTTTCTCTGGTATGTTTTTGTAGAGGATGGTAGTCTTATGCAGTTCTCAAAAGTGACATTGAATAAATTGTATTCACCCTGTAAAAAGTGTGTGCTTTTGTCATTATTTTTACAAGTCAAGAAATATCTAGCTTTTATTATAGATTCCTTGTGCTGTACTGTATAATCTGCTTTTTAGCCAGGATGGCATTTACTTTTATAATTTTCAATATTTTTCAGAGAAAGTTTTTATCAGTGACCCAGAATTCTCAGACAAAGTTCCACAAGAATATCTGAGCCATGAAGATAATTACAACAATGAGCTACGCAAATCAGTCCACTTAATTAAGAAATCAGCCAAGTATGATAAAAGGTACTGTACAGTAATATTAAATGATAGTCATGATTTCATTATCAGCAGTGCATAGCCAGGTAACAGTCATTGTGCATAGTACTGTAGTTGGTATGAGGGACAAAATCCTGAGCAAATAATTACAAAACAAGGGATAACCTCTCTGATGAATTCAATTACATGTACAGTACTGTATCCCAGTTTGTCATCAAGCTGTGTGGGTTAGGATTCCATCAGCAGACGTATCTCAGGATCAGTCCCACATTTTTGCTATTTTTGCTTTTATTTTACAATATTCTTGTTTTCTCTTGGCTGTTATCATGAATCCAGAAGTCTTTCTTTACCTATTTCATCAGAGTTATGGTGCAAAAAAAAAAAGTTGTGTGTGCCCACTTTTGTGTATGTATGTATATATATATATATATATATATATATATATATATATATATATATATATATATATATATATATATATATATATATATATATATATATATATACTGTATATATATATATATATATATATATATATATATATATATATATATATATATATATATATATATATATATATATATATATATATATATATATATATATACATACATACATACATACAGTGACCCCTCGTTTAACGAACACCTCGGTTAACGTAATTTCGATTAACGAACTGCCTTCCATAAGGATCTTCAATTCGGTTGACGAAAAAAATTCGGTTAACGAAAAAAATTCGGTTAACGAAGTTCTTACGAACCAACCTCAACATGTTTTCGCTTGCACTAACCGGGCAACCAGCTTTAGTATCAGTCCGCCAATACATTAATCAGTTCTAGGGCGTTTCCACGTTAACACGGTGCCCTGCCAGAACCTAACGTGCTCACATTACGCTCTGCGTGAATCCCATTACGCGGAGTGTGTCCGGCGCGACGCTATTTTTAGATTCGCCCCACCCGCCTGCCTGCCTGCCTGTGCTCTCGCCTCGCCTCTCCCTCCTCCTCCCTCCCTCCTCCCTCCACCTGGGCAAGCCGCGCGGTAAGGTTGCGCAGTCTGTGTCTTTGTTGCGTTATCACTGACGTCATATGACGTATCGGACTGTGATTGGCCATGCATCCCTACCCCCCTCTGCTGCTAGCTGTAATTGGCTTGAAGTATTATGACGTGTCCACCCGGGGGAGGGAGGGAGGGAGGGAGGAAAGACGATGCGTGACCTAGCCGCGCCAGTTTCATCCCTCCACGCCAGACCGTGTAAACGTGTATCCATTGTTCTGTAAAATGGCTTCCGTCGGACCACCGCCCCCAGAGAGAAACCTTTCCTTACCTGGACCCAGCGGCACTAAGCCAAAGAAGACACGACGTTCCTTAAGCTACGAGGTGAAGTACAAGATCATCCAAGAGTTGGAGAAAGGAATAAGGCAGGTTGATTTGGCGCGCCAGCATGGTGTGAATGAATCTACGATTCGAACAATAAAGAAGGATGCAGCCAAGATAAAGGAGCACATGAAGATCACAAAGTCTACAGGTGCTTCTATGATCAAGTATTTTCACAACCAGGTGCTTCTCAAGACAGAAAAATTACTTGTGAGGTACGTGGTGCGTCAGGCGCGACGGAACATGGCGGTCGACACGCGCTCTGTTAAGGAGTACGCACATGAACTGTACATTGCAGTGGCACGAAAGATGGGAATTACAGAGCCCAAACCCTTTAATGCTTCCTCTGGGTGGTTACAGAGGTTTAAGATCCGGAACAAGATCACCAATATAAACATTGGTGGTGAAGAAGCGAGTGCTAACAGTGCTGTGGCTAGGGAATTTCCTCCGTTTTTACGTGAGATTATGGAGGAAGGACAGTACAGTGACGACCAGGTGTTTAACATGGACGAATCTGGTCTTTTCTGGAAAAAGCTACCTTCCAAGTCCTTCGTTGTAAAGAATGCCAGCAAGATTCGGGGCCAGAAGATGCAGAAGGAACGCATCACCATCCTGTTTACCACCAATGCCTCCGGTACCAGTAAGCTCAAGTTATCGGTGATCCACACAGCACGCAAGCCGCACACCTACAAAACCATGGACATGTCCAAGCTAAATGTCCACTGGCTGACCGCACGTAAGGCGTGGATGTTCTCTACACTGTCCCTCTCCTGGTTTGATGACTGTTTTGTTCCCGATGTAAAGAAATTCTGTGAGCGACAGAATGTGCCATTCAAGATTTTGTTGCTGCTGGACAACACACCAGGACACTCGCCCCTTCTGTTAGATCGTCACCCCAACGTAAAAGTGGTCTTCTTTCCTCCCAACACTACGTCTATATTACAGCCCATGGACCAAGAGTTAATCTGTAATGTAAAAGCTGCATTCTCTACGAAAAAATTCAAACTCCTGAACGACTACACCAACACCAGGGAAGAGTTGCGTAACCTGAGTGACACCACCACCGATAGCAAGAGCGAAGAAGATGAGGATCAACAGTTGGCACAGCAAAAAATACTGTTCAAACAATTCTGGAGAGTATTTAACATCAAGAAAGCTGTGGACTTCTTGGTGGAGTCATGGGATCAGCTGTCTATTGCTACAATTCGTCACGCATGGAGACATGTGTTGCATGGAATACCAGGTGAGAGGAGGAGTCAATCTGTGACTGGTGAGGTTCAGACTGTTGCAGTAGCAGTGGACCTTGCCAGAGAAGCTGCGCAGAGTGTTACAGTTCCAGGCTTCTCCGAGACCACCAACGACGACATCATGGAGGTGATAATGGAACCTGATGTGACTACCGAGGAGATAGTACATGATGATGACGACATCAGTGAAGAGGCAGGTTGTGCGTCATCCCAAGAAGAACAACACTTATCCCATAGTAATGTTAGGGGTGCCATCGAGTGTATCGAGAAAGCCAAGCTCCTCCTTTCCGACGACCCTGATGCAAACAGGTATGAAATCTTCACTACCCAGCTGTTGCAGACTATGGAGCCCTACATCAAGGTGTATCACGACAACATCAACACCAGCCGTCAGCAAAGCATAACAGATTTCTTCGCCCGCAACCCACCACAGCCAGCCCAAGCCAGTGATAGTGACAGTGAAGATGACTTTGAGGGATTTGTCAGGGAAGCCCTGACAACTGTAAGTGACAGTGATGCACCTAGTAATGGTGATTCACCTGAGGGCCAGTAGCCTGCCCTCTGCCTCGGAACCAGCCTCCATCCCCGTACGCCGACCCATCTCTTCTACTAACGTAAGTGTTCCACCTAACTTTTAGTTTTCCTAACCTAACCTTTATTTTTCCTATGTTAACCTTTATTTTTCCTAACCTAACCTCTTCTATATTACTTGTTTTTTCATACCATCATAAAGTTAAGATAAAATTTTTACTACAACATAGTTGTGTGTCGTCAAAAAGTGGAGTTTGGGGGTCGGCCCGGACTCTATTTCAATTAATCCCATATGTTATGTTATTCACTTTACGCGTTCCTCACTTTCCGCGGGACCCTGCGGGTTACATTAACCGCGTAAAGTGAGGGTTGACTGTATATATATATATATATATATATATATATATATATATATATATATACAGTGACCCCTCGTTTAACGAACACCTCGGTTAACGTAATTTCGATTAACGAACTGCCTTCCATAAGGATCTTCAATTCGGTTAACGAAAAAAATTTCGCTTAACGAACTTCTTACGAACCGACCTCAACATGTTTTCGCTTGCACTGACCGGGCAACCAGCTTTAGTATCAGTCCGCCAATACATTAATCGGTTCTAGGGCTTAAATTCCTTACTATTTTTGTAAATATCAAGAAGTTTATACTATTCAATTATTTTAAAAGTTTAATATTAACTTTTTTAGTCATTTTAACAATTATTGAACATAATTGAAGGTAAAGTGACTAGTTTAATGCGCGGCATCCAGCCTCTTAACACAGCAAACAGGCGTCAGTCTCTCTCTGTTTTCACTGGAGGTAACATCTTGCTTGAGACTCTCTTCAACTAAACGCTTTTTTTCTGTGTTTCCAAGCAAATTATTGGTCATTTTGAAAATTATTTTACATATTGACAATATATAGTGCAGTGCAGTGTTATTTTAAAGAAAATATTCTTTATTTACAGCTAGTTTAACTTTGAAAAATACGTGTTGCCATTGTTTGAATCCAGCATGGGGCCTAAGAGATCAAGAAAAGTGATTTCAATCCAAATGAAGCAGGAAATAATAAAAAAACACGAACAAGGTATTAAATCAAATGCGCTATGCAAAGAATATGGCATGTCGGCATCAACTGTGTCGACAATTCTTGCACAAAAAGACAAATTTAAGGAAGTGAACGTGAGAGACAAATCTACAAGAGTGTTTAAAAGTAGATCCCTAATCGTAGAAACTGAGAGGTTACTTATCATCTGGATTAGGGAAAAACAGATGAAAGGTGATTCAGTTTCTGGTGATTTCATTTGTGAAAGAGCCAGGGAGATTTATGAACATTTAAAGACAGATCAACCTAGTTCTTCAGGAACAGAATTTGAAGATTTTCGGGCTAGCAAAGGCTGGTTCGAAAAATTTAAGAAAAGAAGTGACATTTTAAGTGTTGTTAGGCATGGTGAAGCTGCTAGTGCTGATAAAGAAGGGGCAGCAAAGTTTTTAATTGAATTTAAAAAACTGATGGAAGAAGAAAATTATCTTCCACAGCAAGTTTTCAATGTTGACGAAACTGGGCTGTTCTGGAAAAAGATGCCCAAAAGAACATTCATCACCAAGGATGAAGCCTCTTTACCTGGGCATAAACCCATGAAAGACCGTCTCACTCTATTGCTTGGTGCCAATGCTTCAGGGGATTTCCGACTGAAGCCTATGCTTGTCTACCACTCTGAAAACCCCAGGGTGTTCAAGCAACAGAAAGTGGTAAGAACAATGCTTGGAGTTTATTGGAAGTCCAACCGTAAGGCATGGGTGACAAGACAGTTCTTTAATGAATGGGCTATTGATGTGTTTTGCCCCTCTGTCAAGAGCTACCTAACCACCAATAAACTTCCTTTAAAGGCTCTTCTCCTCATGGATAATGCTCCTGGTCATGACCCTGACCTTGCCAGAAATTTGGAGTATAAATTTGACTTTGTGAAAGTGTTGTTTTTGCCTCCAAACACTACATCACTCATACAGCCAATGGACCAGAATGTGATCAGCAACTTCAAGAAGTTGTACATGAAGAAAATGTTTAGGAGGTGTCATCAGGCAACTTCCATTGATCCTGAACTAACACTGAAACAGTTCTGGAAGACACAATTCAACGTCCTGGAGGCTGTAAAATTGATTGTGTCATCATGGCAAGAAGTCTCCAATAGAACCCTCAATTCTTCATGGAAAGCACTGTGGCCATCAGTAGTCCATGATTTTGAGGGATTTGAGGATGACACAGAGTTGGACCAGGAGATTGTGTCCATTGGTCAGTCATTGGGTCTTGAAGTGGAGGAGAAGGATGTGGAAGAGCTTGTGATGTCTCATGAGGAGGAACTTACTCCTAATGACTTGAAGGAACTGGATGAGATGTTACGGGTAGAGGCTGACAGTGGTGAGGAGGAAATTGAAAGTGATGACCATATGTCAGCTACACAGTTGAAAGATGTGATTTACCACTGGGAGAAGTTCAGGGAACTGGCTTCAAAGCACCCAGAAGTGGAAAAAACTGAACTAGCTTTGTGTCATGTTGAGGACTCAGTGGTCTCCTTCTTTAAACATAAGTTAATGGTGAGGAGGACAGATGCCCCACAGACCACAATTGACACTTTCTTCAGTAAAAGGCAGAGGGAACAAGATGCTAGCCCTCAGCCTTCCACTTCAAGAAGGAGAGAGGATGTTCATGGTGGAGAATCTGTCAGTCCAGAGGTTCCTGACATTTTCATGGAAGGTGACTCACCTTCCAAGAAGCAGTAAAATGCTTCTCCTCCACCTCCACTTCCTTCTCTTCTCCCTTCTCCTCCTGCACCTCCCACTTCAAATGCACATCATCACCATCATCCAGGAGCCTTCTACATACACACCTCAAAGTAAGTAAATTTTTCCGCCATTTTTGTTGAAGTTAGGAAATTTTCGGTGAGCTGGAACCAATTACCCAAAAACCCATTGAAACAATGGTTTCGGTTAACGAACGTTTCGGTTAACGAACGACCTTCTGGAACGGATTGAGTTCGTTAACCGAGGGGCCACTGTATATATATATATATATATATATATATATATATATATATATATATATATATATATATATATATATATATATATATATATATATATATATATATATATATATATATATATATATATATACACAATGTACCCCGCCTAACGCGGTTTCACTTAACGCGTTTTATCATATACGCGGTGCCTCGCCAGAGCTGAACTTTCACTTAACATGGATTTTTTCCACATATACGCGGTGAGTGTCCGGCTCGAGACGCTATTTTTATATTTGCCCCACCCGCCACCCTGCCTGACTGCCTGTTTTAGCTCATAAAATTCATACAAATTACCCGGCCAGAATATAATTTACATTGCTGGAATTCTTATAATTTGGTGATCATTTTGAATATAAACATCATATATTTTGCATTAAACATACAAATTTTAGATAAAAATTTTTCTCTAGGTAACTATGTTATCTTTTGTGCAAAATATATGACATTTATATTCAAAATATTCCTGGTCTTACAAGGAATCCAGCAATGTCAATTGTATTATCCTAACTTTAGTTTGAGGTATTATTTATTAAAATTTAGTGGTTTTCCCCCAAAAATTTCTCTGAGAGGGAAGAGCCGGCAGTGTAGTGTGAGAGGGAGTTGAGTCCATTATTTGAATGGACATTAACTTGGCGACTGTATTTCTCTATTTCTCTTAAGTATTAATTGTGTGCATGTACCATCATAAAATTAAGATGTTATTTTTACTACAACATAGGTATGTGCCTTCAAAAAGTGGAGTTTGGGGGTCGGGCCGGTTTCTATTGGAATTAATCCCATATGTTCTGTTGTTCACTTAACGCGGATTTCACTTAACGTGGGACCCTCTGGGTTCAATTGACCGCGTTAAGTGGGGTACAACTGTATATATATATATATATATATATATATATATATATATATATATATATATATATATATATATATATATATATATATATATATATATATATATATATATATATATATATATATATATATATATATATATATACACAGTCAACCCTCACTTTACGCGGTCCCACATTCCGCGTTTCCACGTTTACGCGGTGCCCTGCCAGAACCCAGGATGCTCACATTCCGCGGTGGGTGTACCCCTTTACACGGGTGAAGTATAATTTTTTTAATTTAGCTCATAAAATTCATACAAATTATCCGGCCAGAATATAATTTACATTGCTGGAATTCTTACAATTTGATGATCATTTTGAATATAAACATCATAGATTTTGCATTAGACATACAAATTTTAGATATAATGTTTACTCTTGAGTAAATATGTTATCTTTTGTGCAAAATATATGATATTTATATTCAAAATATTCCTAGTCTTACAAGGAATCCAGCAATGTTAATTATATTATCCTAACTTTAGTCTGATTTATTATTTATTACTAAAAAGGTAAACAGTCTGGTATTCCCACACATTTATCAAGTAGGGACGTTGGTGGGGGGTGGGGGGAGGGAGGGAGGGACCGGCGACCGACCATCTGTTACCATGTGAAGAATATTTTTTTTTTTTATTAACTGAAGATTTTTATTTTAGCTCATAAAATTCATACAAATTACCCGGCCAGAATATAATTTACATTGCTGGAATTCTTACAATTTGGTGATCATTTTGAATATAAACATTATATATTTTGCATTAGACATAAAATTTTTAGATAAAATGTTTAATCTGAGTAAGTATGTTATCTTTTGTGCAAAATATATGACGTTTATATTCAAAATATTCCTGGTCTTACAAGGAATCCAGCAATGTCAATTATATTATCCCAATTTTAATCTGAGGTATTATTTAATACAAAATGTTAAAATCTAAATTTTTCACCCAACATCTCTTGAAGGGAGGATTGGTGGGGGGTGGGGGGGAGGGTTGGGACTGACCGCGCGGTTGGAAGAGGGGGGAGGCAAGGTGGGGTACTTTGATTGACAGATAGTGTCGTGAAGAATATTTTTTATTTTTTTTATTAACTGAAGATATTTGTTTTAGCTCATAAAATTCATACAAATTACCCGGCCAGAATATAATATACATTGCTGGAATTCTTACAATTTGGTGATCATTTTGAATATAAACATCATATATTTTGCATTAGACATAAAATTTTTAGATAAAATGTTTAATCTGAGTAAGTATGTTATCTTTTGTGAAAAATATATGACATTTATATTCAAAATATTCCTGGTCTTACAAGGAATCCAGCAATGTCAATTATATTATCCTAACTTTAGTTTGAGGTATTATTTATTACTATACCTGGTTTTCCCCCCAAAATTTCTCAGAGAGGGAAGAGCCGGCAGTGTAGTGTGAGAGGGGGAGGGAGTCGTGTCCATTATTTGAATGGACATTAACTTGGCGACTGTATTTCTCTATTTCTCTTAAGTATTAATTGTGTGCATGTACCATCATAAAATTAAGATGTTATTTTTACTACAACATAGTTATGTGTCGTCAAAAAGTGGAGTTTGGGGATCGGCCTGGACTCCATTTCAATTAATCCCATATGTTATGTTATTCACTTTACGCGTTTCTCCCTTTCCGCAGTACCCTCCGGGATACATTAACCGCGTAAAGTGAGGGTTAACTGTATATATATATGTATATATATATATATATATATATATATATATATATATATATATATATATATATATATATATATATATATATATATATATATATATATATATATATATATATATATATATAATGTAGATCCTAATGGAAATGTGGATAAGATAAATGTTGATAAAATCACACAGGGAAAAGGGAAACAATGGAGAACCATTGCTCTTGTCCTTTCTTTGGTTATGAGTTGTCTTGGGTACGAGATGACCCTAACCGTATACTATAAAGTACTGTATTACGTTAGATTTGAGTACTGTATTTAAAATTTTAGATAATCATTAGTATATTTGTTTACCAGTTAAATATTTATTCTGGATATACCTCCAAGGTACATCCCTGCAAAAGGAATTTTAAAGGACGGTAACCCACTCCTATTACACGAGAGGCATGTTTATTCCTGCTATAGTTGGCCAGGGAACTTCTGAGCAACAAGACAAATGGCTGGGTCGAGCTGAAAGAGCTGAAATTGTTGGCACATATGCTCAGGTAATATTTCTTTTTCAGTTACTTAAAGCTGTACAGTACCGATTCAGGGTTTGATGTCTGGTTTAAGTAAAGCACTGTAAACAATCTCAAAGTTTAGCTCAACTACATTATAATTTGAGAATTTCATAATTTCTGAGAATTTTTGGCTCATGTATGTGAATACAGTATCCATGAAAAATATGATCTCTTTTGTGTAATTAGAAGCAATTTTACACTGGAATGAAAACCTGGATCATAGAGTGTATTAGGATCAAAATATTTTCTTTGCCATCAAAGTGGTGCCTTGGGTTTCATTAGCAAAGAGGGAAACAGAAGGAGATTACTGTAATTTGTGTGGTGAAGATCAGTTTTGAACAACAGTAAATAAGAAAATTTATTGTGTAACTTGTCAACACCCCAAGCCTGCTGTCATGATTCAACCCTAGGGAATCCTCCTCTCCATGAAAAATGGATTGATTTTTTAAGGTTTTTTGTCTGATATTTTTTAGAAGCAATATGTCCAAGTGAATTTAGTTCCAATAAATTTCACAATCATTTATTAATACTGGTTGTAGCAATGTAGGATCACTTGCCATAATACATGTTATACTCACTCACTATTATTGTACAAGTACTGGTACTGCATTGTACAGGCAGTCCGTGAAAAACCTTTTGCAAATCTATTTTTCATAAATTGGATCCCATTTTCTCATAAGACTCCAATTATAAAAGCTGAAAACTTCCTTGAAAAAACACTTCCCCTTAAACATCTTAAACTGCTACAAAACATGTTTCTAATGAAAAAATTTGGCATACACAATAATAAGCATAATAAATAAAATGCATGCAGTACAGTACTGTAATACAGTAGTTATATACTGTACTTTCAAGAAATTATAGTGATGTACCAACAGTAAGTTTACAGTACTGTTTATACATTTTGAGGTATTTTGTCTTCACTTGATTTTATTTTTGATGTGTTATCTGAAAAAGAAATGCTAAACTTGTACATTTAACATTTTATTCTCCACTGATAACATTTCAATCTCTGAAGTACTAAACACATCATTAAATATATTTTGAGTCTTTGCCTTGCCACTGCTTTACATAGCAGTCATTTGAGCCTTGATAAAAAAATGCTGTATTTCATTTTTAGGTTAATTAACCAATCTTAATGCAGTAAAGGACTGTGCAGTATGTTGGTTTTAGTTTAGCTTTTCTAGAAATTTACCAGGTCTGGTATAGGAAGCCCTGAGATGCCTGTGCCAGCACCTCAGCCTTTTTTAATTCTGCAAACAAAAATATAAACAGTATATATACAGTGGTCCCTCAGCTACCAAACAATTTCGTTAACCGAATCTATCATTTCAATGGGATATTGGGTAATTGATTCCAACCAGTGGCGGACTGGGTAAAAAAATTTCTACCGGGAAAACTTGTAAAAGGGCCCACTCAAAAGGGTCCAAAGCGTAGTCAAAGGAATCAAATAAAAGTAAAGGCTTTAAGCATTCGGTCGCATTAGGGCGGATTGAGTTAACATCTCATAAACCTCATATCTCTTTTTTCTTTTTTCCATTATTTCCAAAGTGATGGACCATCACTTTGGGGCCCACCGGGAAATTTCCCGGTATCCCGGTGGGCCAGTCCGCCACTGGTTCCAACTCACAGAAAAAGTATACATATAAAGTACTGTATACTGGTAATAGAATTAACAAAACATTAAATATAAACTAAATACAGTACTGTACTGTACAGTATACTGTACAATAATAAATAAAAAACAATAGAATACTGTACTTTATTTTAACTTACTTTGAGGTGCGTATTTCGTATTCTTGGCAGCTTTGTTTACATATCAAACAGCTAATTGTAGAGGCAGTCGATGATGACATGCCATATTCTTTACAGAGTGCATTGGTTCTAATGCCTTCTTCATGTTTCATAATAATTTCTGTACTGTATATTATCAATATGTTAACTAAATTTCAGAATGACCAATAATTTTAATGTAAAAATGCAAAAATATTCAAGAGACCAACAAACTGGATGTTCACTCCACTGTAAACAAAGTTAAACTGAGAAGCATCGGTGGGCAGGGCTGTCGGAATTTCCGAATCTTGTTTACCGAACGCGCTGATTGGTTCAAATGCTCACGTTGTGATTGGTTGCGAGTCCATGACGTAATATTACTATTTTCTATAATATAATGTCTGGTGAGGGGTAACGAAGATCCCAGATACAGTAATTATATTAGAGTAGTCCTCATACTCAGTGAATTTCATTGTTCCTCTCATTAGTTTTAGAAATTTCTGATTAATAAACACTGCATTATACACCATTCAGAGTGTTATATGAGATCACATTGGAACAGACCGTTGGCTTCCTTGTATCGACTCTCGATATCGCTTCGTGTGTGACTCAGCAGAATATAATTCTGCTAAAATATCGCTAGTAAAATGTAGGTAAGGTAATTAAATACATCTAAAATTTATTTATATGTATTCTATATGGTATTTTAGCCATGAAAAAGCATATTTCCTAAAGTCGGTAATTTACCGACTGCCGGAGCTGTGACGTCACGGCTTACCGACTACGTCATCAATTTACCGATTATCAGACGAAGTACAGGATTTGAACCAATCAGCGTGTTCGATAAACAAGAGTCGGAAATTCCGACACCCCTGTTGGTGGGTGATTCAATCAGCTGATGGGCGCACAAAAACTGTTCCCTGTACTGACTATATTATCAATATGTTAACTAAATTTCAGAATGACTAATAATTTTAATATAAAAAATGCAAAAATATTTACAACACTGGAAACGAATGTAAACGTAGAACCGATTACTGTATTGGCGGACTAGCCGATCAGCTGATGCGCACAACAAAACATGTTTCTCGTAAGGCTTTCGTTAATCAAAGTTTTGTTAGTTAATCGAATTGAAAATCCTTATGGGAGCTAATTCATTAACCAAAATTTCGTTAATCGAACCATTTGTTAACCGAGGGACCACTGTACTGTAAATTATTTATTTTTCGTAACTGGATTTTTCTTACATAAATTGGAACCTAAGAAAATTTTTAATTTTTTTTAACTTGAGATTTTCATCAACTGGATTTCAAAAGCTGAGGATTGCCAGTAGCCATATGTACAATACTAGATGTAGCAGTGTAGGTTTACTTGCCATAATATGTGTCTTTCTCATTTAGTAATACTACACAGGTACTGTACTGCAGTAGGTATAGTGGTGTAGGATCATAAATATCACTCATTATAGGTAGGTGTGATTTCAGTACAGTACTTCATGTCACTGATTATGATATACTGTACAGTACATTTTGTGGTTTTATTTTTCAGTACTGTATCTTCTTTTAGTCTGAATATTGTCATTTCATAGTAAGTTAGTTAAATTATTCTTGCACCAGAGGTGAAAACTTTCACAATGTGTAGACAGTTGTTTGTATGCCATGACATTAATGGATTAAAGTGAGACTCAAAACTGAATAAAATTGGTACTCTTATTTCAGACAGAAATGGGCCATGGAACATTTCTGAGAGGTTTGGAGACAACAGCTACATATGACCCAGCAAGTCAGGAGTTTGTGCTACACTCACCCACCATAACAGCAACTAAATGGTGGCCAGGAGGATGTAAGTGACTTCAGTTCAATTTACTAGTGCAAAGCAGGGCAAAATACATTTTGAAGCAATTAGGTGAATTTTTTATCTCCAATGTTGTAAAAGTGTAAAGAATTTTCAAGAGGAACCATGCTGTCACCACTGTACTCCAGTATAATTATTTTATAAATTTTGAAAATTTGATAGATCAGTAAATGTTCAAAATAAAGTTGTACCGGTATTTATAACTGTAAATCAAGGGCTAGATAGTTACTTTACTTTATTCTCTTTGCCACTGATCAACCTGTTAACTGCTGGGGAAGATGGTCATGTCTCTGTTATGCACTGGTGGCAGGGACTGTACTGGCTCTAGAATGTCTCTGAACCTACAGGGTATGCCAGTGTTGTTCCAAAAGTTAAAAAAAAAAATTTGGCCTGACAATTTTCTTATCCTATGCTTCTTTAATCTGAGGCTCTGACTACTAGTGAGATGACCACCCAATAGTTTCAGATACCTGTACAAACACTGGGGAGGCACTCTCTGATTTGGGGAATATGGTTTGGTGATCATCATTCTGTATGGTTCCCACATTACTGTCTATTCAGTTTCTTGTAAATAGAAGTGCAGACTTCCCTGTTTGAGTATTCTTTATTAACCCTTAAGCCCTGGTTAGGGTGCTGCTGGTAGTACTCCCCCCTGCGAGGATAAATCGAGAAAATATATACTTTTCCAAAAATAATAATAAAAAACAAATTTGGCGGGAAAATAGGCGGTCGTTCAGGAACGTCACCCTGGGCACGCTGGTTGGACGTTCTGGAACGTCACCCGGGGCCGAAGGGTTAACCAAGACCTATGTGACCTGGTCTAGTTCGTGATTAATAGTGGTCCACAGCGAGCAGTGGGATAGGACCCTCCTCTCATAGGTATTCATGGTGATCCCTATACCGCTGGGGGCACTCAATATTACTGTTTAGTTAATGACCAGAATTGATGGCTTTCATGAAGACGGTGGTTTCGAAGTTATAGCCAGACTGTTTTAATTGAAAATTTAGAAAAATAAAAGATGCAGATGTGAAAATTTTGCAGATGCTCTGCAGATACAGATGTGACATCCATTTTTGCTGTATACTGTACAGTAAACCCTTGCCATTTGTGGGGATTAGGTTCCTAGGAATGGCGCAAATTGGCAAAACCGCGAATAGCAACTTTTCCTACCTTAGTGCACTACTGTACAGTATACCTATACTGTACAGTGTATGAGAAACTTAAGTCACCAATATTACTCTCCTTCATATGTGGTGGTTTGGAGCTTGATGAAGTGTACTGTACAGTAGGATGAAATCTAGTTACTGAAGCATAAGGAGATCATCAGGATCAGTGGTGGTTGGTGGAGAGGCGGGTGGTGGAGCTGCGGTAGCAGCTGACCGAGTAAGTGAGGGAGACGAATCAGCTGGTAGTTGTTTCCTCTTGACTTTGAGGTCTCTAATCATTTCACTCCACTAGCATCACTAGCACTGACACTAGACAGTCTTTTAGGGCCATTTCACATAGAAACACTAAAGTTTTCAATACAACACAAAAGATGCTGCTTCGTAGGCAATGTTTGAGTGCAAACAAAGGGAGAGAAGTGAGAAGAGACGCTGCGGGCTTATGGGGGTGACTTGTTGCGCTGCAGGCAGGCTCATAAGCTAGCCACCATCTGCTTACCGCGAATAGTTTAAATCGCGAATCACAAACCTGCGAATAGCAAGGGTTTACTGTACTGTAGTTATTACACGGTGTGTTCCTCCTCCTAGGTGGGAGACTGTGGGGCTAGGGGTTGACTTGCTGTTCCTCCGTGTTCATTCCTCTGGTTCTACATTTTTTAATTTACCTCCAATACTTACCCTTTGTATACAACCCACTAGAGTCTGTCCCCATTTTTCATCATATCTTTTCTGCTCCAATATCATCAGAAGTTCTTCATACTGTTCTGTCTGCATTCCTGTGCAATTTGGGTTTATGAAAATGTTCAAAAAAGCTGAATTCAAATTTGTTGCAAATATTTTGACTTGTCAGATACCTTTTTTTTTCACTTGCTAGTGTGATCCTGTAGGGGTGTGGCTTATATTGGTGCTTTTTACTGAGCTTAACTATTTTTTTTTTTCTCGGTATAGCCCACCCGGGCACAGGTCATCATCGACTCACAACGGGGCCTAGGGGAAAATAAGAGTAAAAAGAAATTAAAAATAGAAAAGAAAAAGATTATACAGTATTACGCCGCTTTATGCGGTTTCACTTTCCGCGATTTCTCATTTACTCGGTGCCTCGCCAGAACCGAACTTTCACTTTCCGCGGTTCATCTACCCATATACGCGCAGAGTGTCTGGCTCGACGCTATATTTAGATTCGCCCCTCCCGCCTGCTCCCGCCTCCACCTGGGCAAGCCGCGCGGTAAGGTTGCGCAGTGCATGTCTCTGTTGCGTTATCAGTGACGTCATATGACATATCGGACTGTGATTGGCCATGCATCCCTACCTCCCTCCACTGCTAGCTGTAATTAGTTTAAAGTAATATGACGTGTCCACCCGCGGGAGGGAGGGAGGAAAGACGACGCTTGACCTAACCGCGGCAGTTTCATCCCTCCAGGCCACACCGTGTATACGTGCATCCATTGTTCTGTGAAATGGCTTCCGCCTGACCACCGCCACCAGAGAGAAACCTTTCCTTACCTGGACCCAGCCGCCCTAAGCCAAAGAAGATACGCCGTTCCTTAATCTACGAAGTGAAATACCAGATAATTCAAGATTTGGAGAAAGGAACACGTCAAGCTGATCTCGCGCGCCAGCATGGAGTGAACGAATCTACGATTCGTACTATTAAGAAGGATGCAGCCAAGATCAAAGAGCACATGAGAATCACAAAGTCTGCAGGTGCCTCAATGATCAAGTATTGCCAGAGCAAGGTGCTGCTAAAGGTGGAAAATTTGCTGGTGAGTTAATTGATTCGTCAGGCGCGACGCAACATGGCGGTGGACACGCGATCTGTTCAAGAGTACGCACGTGAACTGTACGCAGCAGTGTCATGTAAGATGGGAATTGCTGAGCCCAAACCCTTCAATGCTTCCTCTGGTTGGCTGCATAGGTTTAAGAGGAGGAACAATATCACCAACATCAACATTGGTGGTGAAGAAGCGAGTGCTGACCATGTGGCGGCTAGAGATTTTCCTCCGTTCTTACGTGAGGTTATGGAGGAAATGCAGTTCACTGACGACCAGGAGTTCAACATGGACGAATCCGGCCTTTTTTGGAAAAAGCTGCCTACCAAGACCTTTGTTGTCCAGTCTGCCAGCAAGGCTCGGGGTCGGAAGTTGCAGAAGGAGCGCATCACCGTCCTCTTTACCACCAATGCCTCCGGTACCTGTAAACCAAAGTTATCGGTGATTCACACAGCCCGCAAGCCGCACGCCTACAAGAACGTAGACATGAGGAAGATTAATGTCCACTGGCTGACCGCACGCAAGGCGTGGATGTTCTCTGCTCTGTCACTCTCCTGGTTTGATGACTGTTTCATTCCCGACGTGAAGAAATTCTGCGAGCAAAAAAATGTTCCATTCAAGATTTTGTTGCTCCTTGACAACGCACCAGGACACTCGCCCCTACTTATGGATCGTCACCCCAACGTAAAAGTGGTCTTCCTTCCTCCCAACACTACGTCATTAATCCAGCCCATGGACCAGGAGTTGATCTGCAATGTTAAAGCTGCATACTCGGCAAAGAAATTCAAGCTCCTGAACGACTGTACCAACACCAAGGATGAGTTGCGTAAGCTGGGTGACACCGACAGCGAGAGTAAAAGCGACGAGGACAAGGAACAAGAGGTGGTGACTCAAGAAGTTCTCGTCAAACAGTTTTGGAAGAAATTTAACGTCAAACAAGCTGTAGACTTCTTGGTGGAGGCATGGGATCAGCTGTCTATAGCTACGATTCGTCACGCATGGAGGCATGTGTTGCATGGCATACCAGGTGAGAGGCGGAGTCAACCTGTGACTGGTGAGGTTCAGTCTGTGACAGTGGCATTGGACCTTGCACGAGAAGCTGCGCACAGCATTACAGCTGAAGGCTTCTCCGAGACCACCAACGAAGACATCCTGGAGGTGATCAGAGATCCTGAAATGACTGCCGACGAGATGTTGGAAGATGATCACGTCAGTGAAGAGGAAGATGGTGCGTCAATCTCAGAAGAAAACAAGTTAACGCATAGTAATATTAAGGGTGCCATCGAGTGTGCAGAGAAATTGAAGCTCTTCCTTTCCAACGACCATGACGATGACCGCTATGAAGTCTTCCATACCCGGCTGGTGCAGGCTATGGAGCCGTACATCAAGGTGTATCAAGACAACATCAACACTAGCCGTCAAAAAAGCATTACCGAGTTCTTCGCCCGCAACCCATCACAGCCAGCCAGAGCCAGTGATAGTGACAGTGAAAGTGACTTTGAGGGATTTGTCAGGGAAGCCCTGACAACTATAACTGATAGTGATGGTGATGCACCTAGTAATGGTGATTCACCTGAGGGCCAGTAATCTGCCCTCTGCCTCGGAACCAGCCTCCATCCCCGTATGCCGACTCATCTCTTCTACTAACGTAAGTGTTACGCCCAACCTTTAGTTTTCCTAACCTAACCTTTATTTTTCCTAACTTAACCTTTATTTTTCCTAACTTAACATTTATTTTTCCTAACCTAACCTCTTCTATATTAATTGTGTGTGCATACCATCATAAAGTTAAGATAATATTTTTACTACAACATAGTTGTGTGTCGTCAAAAAGTGGAGTTTGGGGGTCGGGCCAGTCTCTATTGGAATTAATCCCATATGTTCTGTTGTTCACTTTACGCGGATTTCACTTTACGCGGTACCCTGTGGGTTCAATTGACCACGTAAATCGGGGTACTACTGTATTAATCTACACCACGAAGATGCCGGAAAACCAGCTTTTTGAAGTGAGACAGATTGTATGAGTATGGAAACACAGAAGAAGGCAGAGAATTCCAGAGTTTGGCTGTGCAAGGAAAGAAGGATGTACTATAATGGGTTATTCTAGTGTGGCTGACATCCAAAGAGAAACAGTGGGCACCGCGTGAAAGACGAGTGTTACTAGCCCACGGCCTTGCCAGCGGTACACAGGATGCCAAATTCTCCGAACATTGCCCGTTAAAGTACCTGTAAAAGAGAAAGAGTGAAGCAAGGGAAGAAAGATTATCAGCTAAAGGAGGAGAGCTAATATGACGAAATGCCTTTGATTCCACCCTATCTAACAGTTGGACAGAAGTAGAGCCACCCCAGATATGAGAGCAGTACCAGGTACTCCAAGTTAGGACGATTGAAACAAGTGCTCAGGAGTGAAGTAGCTACGGCGTCTGTACAGAATTCCCAGCCTTCGGGAGACAGCTTTAGCAATGGTGAGGATGTGTGGCTTCCATGACATATTAGAGGAAATGGTGAGGCCTAGCATATCTATTTTAGAATTTGGCAGAATGATTGCATCCTGAAATGTGATTGGTGGGAGATCGTCTAATTTGGAAAGTGTAATTGGTAAATACTGAGTTTTATTACTATTGAATTTCACCAAGTTTCTACCACCCCATTCGGAGATGCTGCAATGATGAATGACTTGCAGACACAGCTATTAGTGTCTTGTATGAAATTTTACATTCTTTCACACTAGGGGAATCCGTTATTGCAAAATGCAATGCAAAGTCAGTCATATCACCCCTCATAACTTGTTATTCTTTACAGTGGGCAAAACATGCAACTATGCAGTAGTAATGGCTCAGCTGTACACCCAGGGTCAAAACTATGGCCCTCATCCATTCGTGGTTCAACTGAGGGACGAATACACCCACCGCAGCCTACTTGGTCAGTCTGATCCTTGTGTAATTTATCTTGGAATTTTATATGTATTTTAATTTGAGTCTTTTGTAATGTCAGTCTGAACCCTGTTTAATGTATCCATTTGAACCTTGCGTGTAATGTATGTCTAAATCTTGTTCTATGTACCGTATATATAATCCTAAACTTTGTTTATAATGTAAGTCAGAACCTTGTATAATGTGTTGTCTGAACCTCTTTTAATATAACTTGTTTTTAATGAGCCTGGTGTAAGGTTTTACTCATATACAGTAGAATGTGTTAGTTAAAACTCTGTAAAAAAAATTAAGTCTGAACTTTGTCTAGATTTTATTGTCAACCAGAATATTGTTCAATGAGTCAATCTGAGCTATGTTTATTTTGTCAGTCTGAGCCATGATTAATGTGTCATAAATAGTGTATCAGTCTGAGCTATAAGTAGTGTGTCAGTCTGAGCCATAAATAGTGTGTTATTCTGATCCATGATTAGTGTGTCAGTCTGGGTCATGATTAGTGTGTTAGTGTGAGCCATAAGTAGTGTGTCAGTCTGAGCCATAAGTAGTGTGTCAGTCTGAGCCATAAGTAGTGTGTCAGTCTGAGCCATAAGTAGTGTCAGTCTGAGCCATAAGTAGTGTGTCAGTCTGAGTCATGATTAGTATGTCAGTCTGAGCCATAAGTAGTGTGTTATTCTGATCCATGATTAGTGTGTCAGTCTGGGTCATGATTAGTGTGTTAGTGTGAGCCATAAGTAGTGTGTCAGTCTGAGCCATAAGTAGTGTGTCAGTCTGAGCCATGTAGTGTCAAAAGTGGTGTGTCAGTCTGAGTCATGATTAGTATGTCAGTAGTAGTGTGTCAGTCTGAGCCATGATTAGTGTGTCAGTCTGATCCATAAGTAGTGTGTCAGTCTGAGCCATGATTAGTGTGTCAGTCTGGGTCATGATTAGTGTGTTAGTGTGAGCCATAAGTAGTGTGTCAGTCTCATGTAGCCATAAGTAGTCAGTCTGAGCCATGAGTCTGAGCCCAGTCTAAGTAGTGTCAGTCTGAGCCATAAGTAGTGTGTCAGTCTGAGCCATGATTAGTGTGTCAGTCTGAGCCATGATTAGTGTGTCAGTCTGAGCCATAAGTAGTGTCAGTCTGAGCCATAAGTAGTGTGTCAGTCTGAGCCATGATTAGTGTGTCAGTCTGAGCCATAAGTAGTGTGTAAGTCTGAGCCATAAGTAGTGTCAGTCTGAGCCATAAGTAGTGTGTGTATCTGAGCCATGATTAGTGTATTAGTCTGACCATAAATAGTGTGTCAGTCTGAGCCATGATTAGTGTGTCAGTCTGAGCCATAGGTAGAGTGTAAGTCTGAGCCATAACTAGTGTATCAGTTTGAGCCATAAATAGTGTGTAAGTCTGAGTCATAAGTACTGTGTCAGTTTGAGCCATAAGTAGTATGTTAGTCTGAGCCATAGGTAGAGTGTAAGTCTGAGATTGGCATAACATGTCACCACAGTTTGCCAGGTCATAACTTTCTGAACGTGTCCTGCTGTTACCTTTATAACTGAGTACAGTACTACAATACGTTTTTTATCCTATGATGTACAGTACAGTGGTCCCTCGGTTAACGAGCGCCTCGGTTAACGAGATTTCGGTTAACGAGTTACCTTCCATAAGATTCTTAACTTCGGTTAACGAGCAATCCCTCGATTAACGAGTTTCTTACGAGCCGACCTCCACATGTTTTAGCTTGCATTTGGCGGTCCACCAGCTGTAGTATTAGTCCGCCAATACAGTAATCGGTTCTAGGGCTTAAATTCCTTACCCTTTTAGTAAATATCAAGAAGTTTATACTATTCAATGATTTTAAAAGTTTAATATTAAATATTTTAGTTATTTTAACAATTATTGAACATAATTGAAGGTAGGGTCACTAGTTTGTGGCACGCCATCCAGCCTGCCAACACAGCATACAGGCGCCAGTCTTTGTGTCTTTTCAGTGGAGGTAACATCTTGCTTGAGACTCTCTTCAACTAAATGCTTTTTTTTCTGTGTTTACAAGCAAATTATTGGTCATTTTGAAATTTATTTTACATATTGACAATATATAATGCAGTGCAGTGTTGATTTAAAGAAAATAATCTTGAATTACACCAAGAGAACTAAAATTTTATGGTGAAATGGCGCCATGGGGTGACATCTCTTCCACCCCAATGCCTTCTCGTCTCCCTTCTCCTCCACCCCCATTCTAATTCCCATCATCATCATCATCATCATCATCATCATCATCATCATCATCATCCAGGAGCCTTCTACATACACACCTAAAAGTAAGTGTACTTTTCTACCTTTTTTGTTGAATTTAGGAAATTTTCGGTGAGCTGGAACCAATTACCCAAAAACCCATTGAAACAATGGTTTCGGTTAACAAGCAACCTTCTAGAACGGATTGTGCTCGTTAACCGAGAGACCACTGTATCTGTTTTTTATCCAATGATGTACAGTTCTCAGTAAAGCTCATCTCGACTTAATATTACAATAGGTGTAATGTTGGGTGAGATTGGGCCACGTCTGGGATTGAAAGCTAATGATAATGGATTCCTGAGATTTGACCACTACCGCATCCCTCGCATGAACATGTTGATGAAGCATTCGCAAGTCCTGGAGGTGAGGAAGTACACTGCAGTACAGTACAAACATTCCTTTAACTTAAACTGCATTAGTTTATTGGCTTGTTACTTGAGATTGCTATGAATTGATGTTAATTTTTCAGGGTATCATTAATTTACCAGTGCAGTCTGAACCTGTCTTACTCAGCAATCTTCTTCAGTTTGCATTTAACAACAATTAAAAAACACAGTTTACCTCATACAGTAGTTGTTAAACTTTGTGTTGTTACTTATATCAGTACAATAACCTACATGTACATTGTACAGTATGTCAAAATTATCTATACAGTAAAAGTAAAAGCACGTCAAATTTAAATGTTAAACTGCACATAACATTTAAATACCCAGTAAGTAGTATTGACAAAATACATTGCTACTCTTTTGTAAAATATTCTTTCATGCTAATTTTCTCAAGATTTATTGAGGCCCTTGTGCCCATATGCCAGTTTGAGCTGGATTGAGCTTTTGTTGTCAAATTAAAGATGTACAGTATTTTACCCAGGAAAACCAGCTGATTAATGCAAGGCAACAATATTGGGATTGTATCTAGTCTTGAGCACTAATGTCTAATGCAGTGGTTCTTAAACTGGGGGATGTCAGAGAGAAAAGTCTGGTTAGGAACTAGAATCCAGGAAAAAAGTCAGAAGAAAAAAGTCACAGATAAAAAGGCACGGAAAAACCTAACCTAACCTAACTTAACTTAACCTACGTGCAATGCCATCATATATATATTGTGTTGTCAATGTGTACAAGTCATGTGACTTTTTTCCTGTGGACTTTATTTCCGTCCACCAGAACTGAATGCGTCTTGCACACGATTGCTCATCCCTCCCACTCTATAATAACCAAGGGTTGCATCAGGGGGTGTGGGGGGGGGGCAAAAATGTGACAATATCAACCACCAGGGCATTTTAGATGCTTCATATGGGAGCTTGTGATTTATAATTCAATTTTGAAAACTGGTTGTGTGTTACTGGACGTTTTTGGTGTGAAACTACGTCAAAAATATTAGAATTAAAACCTGTAGATGTCAGTTAGATATGTCAATTTCCTCTGGAGTCACCCTTTAAATAGATTCAACTCGTACATATGTCTAAGTCTTCATAAATATATATCATCCCAGGTTCACCACATTTGCCAAAAGAGTCTTATTTATTTAATTTTATTTAGAAAAGGCAAGTGAAAAACTTGATTTGCTTGAATAAGACAGGAGATTGCATGAAAATACTAGGGATTTTCTTATCATGGACACAAACATTGGGACAGGGAAATCAAGTTACTTTGAAAAGTAAAAAAGAAGTTGAAGTGAAGGGAAAATATTAAAAGATGTGGGAAAGGGAAGGAACAGTTATTTAAGGAGTTGCATGGAATTTTAAGAATTTTTGTCAAAGTAACCACATTGGTTTGTATTGAAAATTTGGCTAAAGAAAAAACTTACTATTGGAGAAGGAAAACCCATTTACTTTTGCAATACAGTTTCTTTATATATCAATATACTTCAGTATCTTTGATGCCTTTTCTCCTCTAGGAACTCCCCTTCCTTGATGGAATGGCTGCATTTTAAACTTATTTTATTTCAGCCACTGACTTCCTGTTATTTTTTATGTGAATAAAGTAATTAAATTTCCCCATTGGAGGACAGATATATAATTCATATTTGATATTTTCAGGATGGAACATATGTCAGACCATTGCACAGTAAGCTGTCTTATGGAACAATGGTGCAAATACGAGTAGGCATTGTTAATGATGCCTGGCAAAATTTGGGACGAGCGGTCACAATAGCAACACGCTATTCTGCTGTACGGCACCAGTCTGAAATGGCTCCTGGGTAAGGGTTTATAAGCATAATATCTTCTTGTAGTGTTTATCAATTGTGCATTATGAGCAATGGATTATTACTGTACATTCATTTTGAAATTGTGTTATGTGGTTCATGCTCAGAAAGGACAGGGCTACAAGAGGTGTTGGTGTGCTCCTGTAAACTATATGTCAAGGAACACGTGACAGCAACCAGTATTGCTGAGCTTATTGAAATGGGATTATCCTAGACTATTGATGTGATTTGATAGCTCAAAACAAAAGTAAGTCTTTGTGACTTCAGTGACCTTGCATTACTAGTGACTAGGACTGGTCTCTTCTATGAGTTGTTCTGGGTGTATATTGGTTAGTGGTTTCAAGAAATACGTGTATAATGTTTACAATGTTTCAGAAAAGCGGTTAACCGCTTATGGTTTGGGAAACATAGGACAACTTCTTTAAGGTTTTAAGTATACTTGCAAGTAAAATCTTGTGTCTTACACATTCTGGGAGCGGGGGGGGGGGGCTATTTTAAGTGCTTATGTGGGATTTCCACCATTGTGTGTAAGCTTTTCAGGGGGTAAGTGTACTTACAGGAATTGGTGTGGATCAGTCAGTGCATGCCACTTATCTAGAGGCTAACTTTGAAATTCTCCTATTCTCTACTAAATCTGAGTTACCCCATACTGTCCCTAAAGACATCCATGGTTTAGCTATTTTGGAATCAAGTTCCAGGATAGCAGTAAAGAATTGTATAGTATACAGTACATTCTTTCAGTGCCCCTTCTCCCTTCCTTTATATTAGATCAACTCTTTTAGTTGGCTTATCTGCCTATTTAATGTGCCATTTTTAGTTCATACTCATTCCCCAAAACTCTAGCTTGGTTTCAGTAATAAGAACTGCCTGCCAAAGAGTGTCAAGCTAGAAATGGAGGATTGATCCTGAAATCCTATTTTCTAGCTACTGGTAAGCCCAAAACCAAGTGGCTCAGATATCCTCTTTTCTCCCTTGGCTCTATAGTTAGGCAGCTGGAAAACAAAAGTAGAAAGCTGGAGTCACTTTAAAATCAATGATGATGCCCCATATTGTTAGCATGAGACAGTGACAAGGTAAATTGGCTCTAATTAAACCTACCTCCAGAGGGAAACCTTAGATTTTGATCTTCCACTTTTGAGGGTGATGGGGAAGGATGAAAAGTTTTAAAATCAATCCCTAGCTGTCAAATATGTGTGTGACATGTTACCCAAGCAATTGGCTTGCACAAGAAGAGCCATGTAGCTATGGGCTCATCTAGAAAATCGGATTTCAGGATCAATTTTACTCTTTTCTTATTTTTCAGAGAACCAGAACCTCAGATATTAGATTATCAAACCCAGCAGTACAAGTTGTTTCCTCATATAGCATCAGTGTTTGCTTTGCTATTTTCTGCTAAGAGTATTGCAAAGATCTACTTCAGGGTGACTGCAAGTTTGGAGAAGGGTAATGTAGAACTCTTGCCAGAGGTGAGACAAACACTAGTGCTGAATTTAATTGCATAACTTAATGGCTAATACAGCTTCTAGATATTAACTGCCAAATTTTCATGTCCTATCTATATAATTATAGAAAAGATAGTCAGCTTTGTCTCAATGTGTTGCTGTCATATGTATTTATGAATTTTATTGTATGAGTACAAGAGGAGAGAGCTTGACTGGATTAACAGGGATGATGGCATTTATTCAATAAAATAAGAAGTACATATTTATATTCTAATTTTTTTTAATATTACACAGGCAATGACCGTTATACAGTACAATGGATCTACTGTATATAAGCTTAAAAAGTTTTACTATGTTGAAAAATTAACACTATTTACCACTATGTATTGGCTAAGATCAGTTTTGCAATGGTTACTACCCTAATGCTTTAACTGCATTTCACTGCAACGAAAATTTGATGTGCAATATCTTGCAATATTCCGAGAGGTGATGACACAATCTCGGAGTGGCATAACACGTGCGACCAGTGTAGGATGCATGGGAGGCTCTGCCAGTCACATCGCCCAGAGGTTGGTTTGCGTGTGGAAGAAGCTATTCTTTGTACAGTACCTAAAATAATATACAGTGATCCCTCGCTTAACTAATGCCTCGGTTAATGAAATTTCGGTTAACGAATTACCTTCCATAAGAATTTTCGATTCGGTTAACAAAAAAAATTTGGTTAACAAAATTCTTACAAAATCGTGTCAACATGTTTTCCCTTGCTCACCAGCTGGAATATTAGTCTGCCAATACAGTAATCGGTTCTAGGGCTTAAATTTGTTTCCATTTGAGTAAATATCAAGAAGGTTGTACTATTCAATAATTTTCCAAGTTTTATATTAAATTTTTTAGTAATTTTAACACTTATTTAACATCATTGCAGTACAGGGAACTAGTTTTTGGTGCACCAATCTGCCACTTGACTCACCCACCAAGGTGTCAGTTTGTATCTCTGGTCAGTGGAGGTAACATCTTGCTTGTAGGTCTCTTGAACATAAACTATTTTTACATTTTTACAGTACAATTATTGGTCATTCTGAAATTTAATTAACATATTGACAATATATAGTGCAGTGCAGTGTTGATTTAAAGAAAATAATCTTGAATTACACCTAGTGAACTTAAAATTTTATGGGAGAAATGACGGCATGAAGCATGGGGTGATTTCTCTTTCGCCCCCACTTCCTTCTCTTCACCCTTCTCCTCCACCCCCACTTCTAATTCCCATCATCATCATCAACCAGGAGCCTTCTACATACACACCTCAAAGTAAGTGTACTTTACTGCATTTTTTTTTACTTTGTATGTAATTTTTGGTGAGCTGGAACCAATTACCCAAAATCCCATTGAAACAATGGTTTCGGTTAACGAAGTTTTTGGTTAACGAATGACCTTCTGGAACGAATTGTGTTCGTTAACCAAGGGACCACTGTACAGTGAGCTCTGCTATAACACGTGTTTTGATAACGCGAATTTGCTCTAACGCGATTTATGAATTAGGAACGATATTTGTATAACGCAAACGCTTGTTTGCTATAACGCGATTTTTGCTTACTATTTCTCCAATTTTGTGGTAGTGGGGTATGCTATAACGAATCTAATTGGTTCTAGAACCTTGTTCGTTATAGCATTCGTTCGTTATAGGATTAATCCGTTCCAGGCCCCCAAATACAACCACTTAACACTGAAAAATATAATATAAAATTGTAAAAATTGTAAAAAAGTGCATAAATATGCATCTAAACCCCTGAAATAAAGAATATCATTAATATTTGTAATAAAAAAACAATAAATTATAAAAAAATTTAAATCATGTTCGTTGTAGGAGTTTCGTTCGTTATAGAATTCTCAATTTTATAGGTAAAACCGTTCGTTATAGGAATATTCGTAGTAGGATCCGTTCGTTATAGCATACCCCACTGTATTAACTGTGAATATAGTAAAGAAGAATATCAACAAGAAGCGTTCTGGTGATAGAATTCCCGGTGATGATCGTAAAAGAAAGGATATAACACTTGAAGAGAAGCTCGATTTTATCAACCTCAAAATCACCCTTCTCCCCCATCAAGTAAAGTGTTACATTTACTGTATGATTTCATTATTAGATATGATTGTAACATTTATTTAGACTGTGCCATTCTTTGTGTTAGGCTAACTACTAAATTTTTTCGATTTCGAGTAATCTGCACCTAACCCTATTTTCTCCATAAGCCCTGTTATTTCTATTATGCAATTTTCTATAACACGATATTTTACAAAAACACAATTATCGCGTTATAGCAGAACTACCTGTATACAGTACTGTACCAGTTTATGTGAAGAATAAATAAAAATAATAATACCTGTAACAAATAAAAGAAGAAAATACTGGGTTGCCATTTGGCAATCTTGTCACTATGAACGAGACAGCTAGCCAAGATCCCCCATGCTGCTCCCCCCCTCCCCTGCTATATGTATTAAGTCCCACACACACATACACATGTAAGAAATGTTTATTCCCTTTATGTTTTTTACCTAAATGTTTAGTTTTTATTTTATAATCTGTTTGACAGATTGTGTGTGCATATAGCAGTGATAAAAATAAAAATAAATTATGTTTATCTTCCCAAAATTGCAAGTTGAAAATAACAATAACACAGCTCACACCTTAGCAGGAGGCTACCAAACAAATGTTTATTCTCTTTTATGTTTTTTTACTTTATTATAATAATTTCTTTTATTTTTTTTCACATTTTGTATGAAAGATTGTGTGTGCATGTAACCAAAAAAAAAAGAAGAAATTTACGTCTGTCTACCCAAAATTACTTGTAGTGTCAGCTGGGGGATCGCAACTTACTACAACCACATCTCGTTTTACGCGGGGGTTACGTTCTTGAAAACCACCACTTAATTAAAAAACTCGTAAATTAAACATAGATTTCCCATAAGAATACGGTACATGTAAATGGTACAGGTCAGGGGAACCATCATATACCTTACAGGGTACAAACAGTGCTCTCACTTAAACCAAGCATGCGGCCAACCACCGACACACAATCTCCTCTCTGAAGGCGGGTGATCACATTAATTTCACGTCCATTGCGATTGTTTTTCGTGCCTTTTTAGCTTTAGGCGCCCCAGAGGAGGCAGATGGACATTTTCCAGACATGCTCAATGGGGGAAAATAGCGTTTAACACTAAATAGGTATGTGATAAACACACAATGCAAGTGAGAGCACAGAGAAAATGTAGTGCTGGTGTGAACTGAGCAAGTGACACGCAGGAAGCTTGCTGGACATGGTCACAGTTGTTGTACAGAATACTTTATTATCATCATTATCTTCATCAGTAGTAGTAATAATCTCTATTATTACATTATTATAATAATTATTACAGTAGGGTTGGGATATATCGCGACTTTATATAATGATTTTTATGTATCGTGGCTACCAAAATTATCGACATTTTCCTATACAGTAGAAGTCCAAAAATCCAGACTGCTTGGGGATTGGGTCGGTCCGGATTTTCGGATTTTCAGGCAGTACTTTTAAAATTCAAATTTAAGGAGGAATAAAGAAGAGATGAACAGGTACATTTTGAAAGTGTATTCATTAGCAAATATAGCATGCTTAATTTATCAAAACGAGCAGTTTTAAAGAAAAAGCTATGAATTCTAGAATTTTATTCTTTGCCTTTTTTTTATCATAAATTGTAGACTTTCCAATGTCGTATGTTTCCATTAGAACAGTATTGCTCACACCACATTCTAGTTTCTTAATTATTTCAAGTTTGTCACTCAATTTCAACGTGTTCTTCTTTCTCTTCACACAATGAAGTTTATCTACTTTAGGAGCCATTATCATGGGCTTGTACAGTACAGGACTCTGTAAATGGAAAGAGTAGGACTCAAAATTTCATACGTTGTCACTGTTTGATTGCTCGTTTTAAAGTGGCAACCGCGTGGTCGCTTGTTGTCGCTATGCAGCTGTGGCACTCACGCATGCGCATATACACACAAAAGCCCGCTAAATTACAAAAAAAATTCCAAAGTTTGAGTTTTCGAAAAGTCCAAATTCTCGGATGGTCCGGATTTCTGGCATCCGGATTTTTGGACTTTTACTGTATTTATAGCGATAATTTTTTTTTATTTCGCGAGGGAAATCGGGCAGGAAATATTTCAAATGTACCGCCATGGCAAGCAAATGCATTATTTGCTCACCAGAGACTCCACTTTGGCTGCTTACTCATGCATTCACACTTGCCCGCTCGGTTTTTCTGAGTGAGTTATGAGAAAGCAGCCGATTGCTGCAGATTACGACTTCTAAGGTGAGTGTAAATGGGTTTCTAATGACGTGTTAAGTGAAGATAATGAAAAGCTTAAAGGAAAATATTTAATACTGTAACTAATATTTTTGGTTTGTTCGTTTATCATCATTAAGTGAGGGTGGCAGTGTGTCGTCTGTTATTCTCGGGATGACGCGTCAGCTGCCGAGTCCGGTGCAGATTCCAATTTCTAAAGCGAGTGTAAATGGGTTGCTAGTGACGTGAAAAGTGAAGTGAAGAAAGTGGAAAGCTTAATGGAAAAGATTTAATACTGTAACTTATATTTTTGGTGTTCGCTTATGTAGGTGTGGGATTGTCAAGTGAGGGTGTCAGTGTGCTGAGTCTGGTGTTTCCAGGATGGTGCTTCAGCTGCCGAGTCTGGTGTTCCTTGATATTGATATTGAAATAGCCTGTTGTTCCCGATCTAGTGTTCATTGGTGCTTTAGTTAGTAAGAAAATGAACTCATTAAGTCAAGTTTAGTCACTTTTTTTTTACCTCCAGAACCTAACCCTATTTTCCCCATTGAATACATGTAATTATACATCGCGATTTGGTATACGTATAGCGAACATCGTTGGACCCTATCTCGCGATATATCCCGACACTATTGTATTATTAATAATAATATTAAAATCGTTGATGTTGAAATGACCTCACCAGGCATCACACGAGACTCCACTGCCAGGCGACCAGGCGAATACACGCGGCAAATTTAAACTGTCTTGAGCGCGTTATTTAAAAAATAGGTGTGCGTAAAATAGCTTTTGGTATTAATTGAACAATTGCGTTATTCCAAAAACGCTTAAATCCAGCGCGCATAAAATGCCAGTTACCTGTATTGTACACATACATATCATGTAAGATCAATGAAAATTGATTTTTATTTTGTATAAATTTATTGATTTTATGTCTACTATTTATAAATTATTTGATTTATTTTGACATTATTTAATCATTTTAGCAGTAGAATATAAAGCTTGCTTGGGGTCTTCAGGGTCTCAGAAACGGAACCTATTTGCTCTCTAGAAGTTATTAATATAGTTATACAACCGATCACTTATCGATGGCTCTTTGAGGTCCCTAACCCCATTGTATAATGGTCATTGCCTGTTTTATAATTGAATTTGTACTTTTTTCCTGTAATTGATATGAAGATATATTGATAATGTCCATATGATGCCCATTCTTTTACCATTGACATTAACTGTGCATAATGTGTGACCTCAGAAAACTATTATGAAAGAGGATCATCATTAAAACTCTTCTCTTGCATTCCATAGCATTTGATTTTCTTATTTTAAAAGGGGAACAACTAGAGAAAATTCTCAATATGTGTTATTTCAAATTGCTTCAGGGATGTAGGTAAAACTATAATATTTTTTTGGGGGTATTCTTGGTACAATATTAATATGTTTAGAGACTGCAATTTTGAAAGGCACCCTTAACATCTTGCATTTTCATTGATTGGATAGTTTCAGGGATGGAAATAAAGAAACATGCAGGAGAGAACGATATGCTTTGAATTAGAACAGAAAAATGCTAATAAAAGCTAAGAAATAAAAGAAAGATGAAGACAGTATTCTTTAGATTTGATGGGAATGGAAGAGACAAGAAGTAGGAATAAGTAGAGTAGGACTAGAGATTGAAAGAATGGACAAGATACAGTGGAGGAGAAAACATTGGAAAAGAAAAAAGTTAAACAAGTAATAAAGCATTGAAGATAGGATTTATTGGAGGTATAGATAGTGTGGTGAATGAAATGAAGAGAGTTGGGGAGAAATCATGATTAAATGGATCTGCAGAATGTTTGTAGGTGCTTGGGAAAAGTGTTTGAGGTTCTGAGGAGTAGAGGAAGGCAGTTATATTGTTCCTTGTTTAAAGGCAGTGGTAATAACTGAGTTTAATAACTTCGGAAAAAAAAAATCCGAGCTTGGTTTGTAAAGTGCATTGGCTATGACAGCAACTTCATCTGTTATTAGAAATAATGGGTGTTTTGAAGGACTTGTTAATTATTATAATAATATTTATTTTTGCAAAGGATTATCCATGGAATGTATGGTTGTAGAGGAAATTTTATGAATAGAAAAAGGTATGCAGTTGATGATTGTATATTATAATCAGGATATGTTCAAGAATTATTAATCACAGGGTCAGGATAGCAGTGTAGTGTGTATTATCAGAATTTTTTTAACTTAGATGTTTAGTTTGAGTTATTTTAATCCATTTGGTTACTCTTGTGATTCCAGTTACATTCCCTGTCAAGTGGACTAAAAGCCATGAGTGCAGAAGATGCTACTCTGGGTATTGAAATCTGCCGCTTGGCTTGTGGAGGACATGGGTATCTGGCATCATCTGGTTTGCCACGTCTATATGCCAACACTACCTGTTGCATCACATATGAAGGAGAGAACACCGTTTTATGGCTCCAGGTTGCTAGGTAGGAAGGATGCAAGAGGGTGGATGATACATTGTAAGAGACAGGCAATAACTTTGTCTTAGGCCAGGGTCACATGAGCACTTTTATTAATATTTAATTTGAAGCAAAAATTTTAGAGCAAGAAAATACAATAAATTTCTTCAAAATGTGGTCACACTGGTGGTTCTTGCTCCAGTTTCTACAGCAAGAAAAAACAAGTGAATGCCACCTTGCGAGTAGATAGGAGATGGTATATCACAACAACAAGTCAAAGTGAATGCAGACGACATAGCAACTATCTTTGGTATTCTTTTTATTTTTAAAAAGACATGAGAAAAATTGAAGAAAAAAGATTGTGAACTCGTAAGTGGCTGGTGAGGTGGAGGATTAAAAGTGTTTATTATAGACTGGTTGGACTATCATAGCTAAAGTAGGCAGTAGGGAGGGCTGCCTGTGTGTACATTGTGAATGGCTGTGTGTGTGTGTGTTTTGCAAATATTCATTTCAAAACAGCACTCAAATGTAAACTCAAAATGTCTTAAAAAACTGGTACTATAGTGCATTTTATACATAATGTTATTAACCTATGTTATATATATATTTAAATACTTGATAAGTAAGCTTCGTATCATTAAATATATAGCAGGGGGCCCCCAAATTCACGGGGGTTAGGTTCTCAAAATGGCCACGAATCTCCAAATCCGCTGACGGGGGTACATTTTTACTTGTGTACAAAGAAATGTATATTCTCTTTATGTGTTTGCCCGTAGGACAATTCTTTCTTTTACCTGTAATATTGTATATGTATGTGTGTGTGTGTGTAGACACACACTCACATAAAACATGTATAAATAAATAATAATAGGAAAATCCTCTCGCAAATAGTCAGAATCAAATTTATTAAAATGTGACAGTCTACCCTCAAGTCTGTGCTCTATTACTTTATTAATATAGTAGAGCACAGACGTGAGGGTAGACTGTTAAATATTTAATAAATTTGTTTCTGATTATTTGCGAGAGGATTTTCCAATTATTATTTATTTGAATGTGTTTTGTGTGTGTGCTTATGCCCATAAACTGATTTATTTTAGCATACCATAGTTTGATTATTACTTTGGAAAGAATTTTAAAAAAAATCATAACTTTGGATTGTTTTTTAATTCATTGAATCGTGATCGTGAGATTTTTTTGTTGTAACATTAGAATTTCATGAGCTGATCTTTTATAAATTGGGAACTGCCTCTACTTATATTGTACTGTACATGTATATGTATTATACAGTACAGTAGAACGTCGATTTAAAGCGATTCAATTTTAGATTATTGATTTAAAGCGACACCCACAATTAATGACAATGTTTTAATATAAAGTGAATCTTTCCTATTTTGTGTGAGTCAATCTGGTGCATAATATTTTAAAATTCGCGCCTAATGTTTCTCAGGGCACGCTACACTGTCCTAAGGGCTAAGCTGTACTGTACATGTGCTCAAAATACAGCACTAAATGATAACTAAAATTTTTGTCTAGTGCAAACTATAGCATGATTATATTCAAATTAATCATGATCTTATAAGAATTCCAGCAATGTAAATTATATTCTCCCCGGTCACTTCTGTGACATTTTATAAACAAAAAACAAAAACTCAATCTAAAGACATAAATAAATAAATAAATAAATACTTCACTAGACTTTCAGCCCCAACTGTCAAATGTATCACTGTCACCCCCCCCCCCCATCTTCCCAGCAAGGGTTGGATGGTTATAATAGGTTTACAATTTTTACCTTATGTAATATCGCATCCCTTAATTTTAGATGTGTTGATTTATGAGTGGTTCTTTTAACATATTACTACAAAAAACATTGTTTTGTTTATTCTAGGAGATGGGCTAAGGTGCATCTGGGTAGACTGTCAGTCTTTTTAGTATTTTGTGTTTCTCTCAAGTACCAAACTAAATTATTCCATTGAAACAACACTTTGATTTGGTGCGAATTCGGTTTAAAGCGACCTCTCTTGGAACGTACAGTATCTCGCTATCTCACGTTATATCGACGTTCTACTGCATACTGAATTTCAGCTAAACTTCATGAGGTGCCAAGAATGTGGTCCAATGAATGAGTCATTGGAACATAACCATTTTGATATATTTCTTTATCTCGCCAAGGTATCTCATCAAGTCTTACCGTGCTGCTGGCAAGGGAGCTTCAGTTCACCCATCTGTCTCTTATCTAACAGCTGAACCTGCCTTGTCTTCTGCACCGTTTCTTTCAAATACAGGTGACAGTGCATTTCTTGCTTTCTCTTTTTGTCTGTATAACAATAATTTTGTACGTGCAGTATGTAAAGCACAGTATTGTGTTTGAACTCCCTTTAGTACTGTAGTATTATGATGCTTGTGGCCTTGTTTTAGAAAGTTTTCAAACCTCTCATCCCCACCTATATTTCAGTTTCTTGCTTCTCACTTTATCAGATGTCATTCTCAGCCAAATGTTTGTGTTGATCCCTGCTTGATACTGTGAAGGGTTTTGTGTGCTTACTACTACAGTAAATTATCTGTCAACTGAAAATCTACTTTGAAATAATATTTCTTACAAAAGATTTGAGCATTCTAAATGAGAAGTTTAGGAATATAGAATAGGTTTTTATTTAATGAATTTTCTACATACAGTATTACATGAGAATAAGTGAGAAAAAATTGGGCAATCAGGCAACTGGCTGATTGCCCAAACTCTTGTCGTCTCATGAGTTTGAGGAGTAAATTATATAATGATTGTTGGACAGTGACGGTACATTGAAAAATTATGGTATTTGTAGACTTAACAACATTCAGAGCATTAGAGAATAATGAAGTGAGTTAACTGTACCATTAGTATTTACAGAAACTATTGATATAACCATAATATCACAAGTTTATTACATGCTTTCCATTGAGTCCAGTCAGTAAAAAACAGCAAGCAGTAGAACCATTTATTGCACATTTTCTTTTTTTACGGGGATTACCCCTCCTGAGCACAGGTCATCGACCCACATCGGGGCCTGGGGGACAAAAAAAAAAGAATAAAAATAAATTAAAAATAGAATAGGAAAAGGTTATGCTGTATTAATCAATACCACGAAGAGGCCGGAAAACCAGCTTTATAAAGTGAGACAGATTGTATGAGTGTGGAAACACAGAAGAAGGCAGAGCATTCCACAGTTTGGCTGTGTGAGGAAAGAAGGATGTACTATAACGGGCTATTCTAGTGTGACCGACATCTACAGAGAAATGGTGGGCATCGCGGGCAAGACGTGTGTTACGAGCCCACGGCCTTGGCAGCGGTACACAGGATGTCAAATCCACCGAACATTGCCAGTTAAAGTACCTGTAAAAGAGAGAGAGTGAAGCAACATTGCGGCACAGACATAGCGAAGAAAGATTGTCAACTAAAGAAGGAGAGTTAATAAGACGAATTGCCTTTGATTCCACCCCATCTAACAGTTGGACAGAAGAAGAGCCACCCCAGATATGAGAGCAGTACTCCAAGTTAGAACGAATGAATCCCTTATGTACTTGAAGCAACTGCTCTGGAGTGAAGTAGCTACGGCATCTGTGCAGCATTCCCAGCTTTCGGGAGGCAGCTTTAGCAATGTTGATGATGTGTGGCTTCCATGACACTTTAGAGGAAATTGTGAGGCCGAGCATATTTTTTTTAGAATTTGGCAAAATGATTGCATCAGGGCCGGATTCAGGAGTGGGCAAAGTGGGCAGCTGCCCAGAGGCCTCCACAATCTGGGGGCCTCCACATATCAGGGCTGGTCGACTTGAAACCACATGAATGACTCCAGTCATGTCTCACTTTTGCGTGTGTGTGTGTGTGTTGGGAATTTGTACACTATCAATAAATATACAGTTAATTAAAAATTTCTCAATGTTCTAATTTCCTCAGTATAACAGCATATGGCTTCAAAATTTTCGAAAGAAGTGTTCAAATTTCAAAATTTTCCAGGGGGGCTTACAGCGCCCCCCGGAACTCCCAGATGTTTAGGCTCACTTCACTCGCCACCCCACTCTCTTGGGTAGTTATAATGCGGGGGGCCTCCACAAAGGCTGCCCATGGGCCTCCACAGGTCTAAATCCGTCACTGGATTACAGCCTGAAATGTGATTGGTGGGAGATCTTCTATTTTGGAAAGTGTAATTGGAAATTATTTTACTGTGTTTTCTTACTATTGAAGTTAAAAAAAAATTCTATCTCCCCATTCAGAGATGCCGCACAGATCCGCATTGATAGGTGGAACGATATTGGCTCTAGTAACAGATCTAGTTTGAGAGTTAGGGTGGAAGGGAAACTTAAAAGAAGAGTGAAGATTAGAATCATAAGTGTAAGAATGGATAGAATTAGTAGTATAGTATTGTGAAGTAAATCATTGATAAAAAGAAGGAAGAGAGTAGGTGAAAGAACAGAACCCTGTGGAACACCACTATTGGTAGAGAAAGAGCAAGAGATCAAACCTTCAACAACAACTGCCATAGATCAGTTCTCAAGGAAGCTAGAAATGAGAGAACAGAGTGGAGGAGAGAAACCATAAGAAAGAAGTTGAGAAAGCTAAGACTTGTGCCATACCTTGTCAATTGCTTTGGAGATGTCGAAGGCCATGACAAAGGTTTGCCCATAATCCCTAAGAGATGATGACCAAAAATGAGTGCAGTAGGTGAGTAGATCACCAATAGATCTCGCCTGGCAGAAACCATACTGGTGATCTGACAAAAGAGAAAGGTGTTCAAGGTGACAATAAAAACGAGAGTTTAAGATAGCTTTGAAAATCTTAGAGTAGGACGAAGTGAGGGCATTGGGGCGATAGAGGGATTAGAATGGTCACCATTTTTGGGATATACTGAACCAAAGCATGCTTCCAAGAAGATGGAAACGTTTGGGTTTTGAGGCAAAGGTGAAAGAGGCTAGCAAGCATGGAGGCCAGAACTTCAGCACACACTCTCAAAACATGAGGGGGGTATTTTGATGGTTCATGCGCCTTACTGTTACCACCACAGTAAGGTAAACGGTGAGAGAGAGAGAGAAAGAAAGAGAGGGATAGCCACAGTAAGATAAACTAGACGAGAGAGAGGATGAGAGAAGAGACAGAGTGTTGACGACGAATTTTGCCGAGATGTTTAAATGGGCGCCGCGCCACATTGGTTGCAGCTGTGACACCAGTCTACCGCTGTCTACTGTAAAGGCAACATCTTGATTCTCGCCCACAACAGTTTCCCAGAAGATATTACTGTGAGTGTGATTGTGAACTATTAAATCCTCTATGAACTCTGAATAACTTTAATAATAAGTGTATTTATGTACTGTATATTGATCATATTATACAAACTGTCCTGATGTATCAGCATTTGTAACATGTGAGTTATATTTAAGATGTTAATAGGTTATGTACTGTATTTTGATCGTACTATTCAAACTGTGTGTCCTGATATACCAGCATTTGTTGTATGTGAATTGTTCTTTAACAGGTTTTGACCGAATTATGCTCATCGCATCAACGACAAGGGTCTTATTGTCCTGCATAGGCCAAAATCACTCCTATGAGTGATTACACTCACATCCAGATTGGATAACACACCAGCAACCCTATGATTGGGGATTCTGGGAAGTGCATAGTTTCAGTAGGAGGGGTTAGGTTGGAATCGTCTGTGTTGGAGTTAGAGGAAAATAAGTGCCAAAGAGACTGGCTTTATCAGAGGAATTGTTGGCTATAGAGTTATCAGGTCAGAAATGAGGGACTGCAGAAGTTATTACAGATGTTTTTGGTTAAGGACCAGAAAGATTTACTCAAAGAAGAGTTAGTCAGTTCACCAGTTTTTTTTTAATGTTATATATTCCTAATAAATTTTCAATAGAATTTCTAGGAACCTTGTTACTGTTAATATGTATGAATGGATGATATCATGTTTGGATGTTTTCATTCTTATTATTTTTCTCTATTCAGCTCTGGTCAATGCCTTCATGTGTTCAGCATCAGCCCTTGTGGTAGAAGCAGAAGCAAGGCTTCAGAACCTGTGTGACATGGGACAAGAATACCATTATGCCTGGAATAATTGTTCTGTTCTACTAGTCAAGTGTGCTCAGGTATAATCAGAACATTTTATTTCTTGATTACTATAATGTACTGTATATTGATGTACTGTACTGTATATAGTTACAGTAGTCCTGTATGCTGAAGTCCTACTTATATGAAACCGTATTATGACTAGTTGAGGTCTGTTTGTGCATACAGGGTATATTTGTTCCCACTGGATGATAATTTTAATCAATCATCTTTGTAGGAAAACAATAAAAATTCTGGTTTCCATTGTTGATATCTACAGACATCATTCCAGTGATTTTTCTTCTTGTTACAACAGGTACAAGTTTTAAATTTCCATAAAATATTTTTATTATTTTGGATAATGGCCAAGGTTAGGACCAAGTGTCAGAGTTTTTTCCTGGTGTGAATCTTAAGTATCATGAATTACTCCATTTGTGACCCAGTACCAACATCATTTGTTGTAATGTTAATGCCATGTGCCTTGGCCCACTACTGTACTGTACAATATAAAAAGAACAAGTGAGCTTCAATAAAAATTTTAATCCAATAGTACTGTGATCTGAAAGATCTCTTATTGATGCAGGTTCACCTTTCTAGTTCTACTGTATGTGTCTCACTGAAAATTAATCAATTTACTTTAGAGCATCAAAATGTAAAGAAAGCTTGTCCTGCTGTAGGACTTGGATCCTTCCCAAATCTGTATTGTATACTGTATGCAGCTCTTTTTATGCATACAGGTATTTGTATATAGATACAATATAAGACCAGATTAGATGAATGCATATTCTCTAGGTAAAGCTGAACCATCAGTAAATTCCTTTGTAAATATTTCAAAATGAGGCTTATTACCGGTATCTACTGTGAAGTAAAAGTGTGAATTAGAATTACTAATGTATATGAATTTATCCTATTTACAGGCTCACATACGTTACTTCATTTGTAAGACGTTTGTGGAGAGTGTAGAGTCACTGGATGCAAGTGAGGGTGTGCGGAGTGTCCTGCAGAGCTTGTGTCGCCTATATCTTATCTACTACATCAACCTCAAACAAGGAGAATTTCTCAGGGTTAGTAAGATCAAGTTCATGGATGTGTACATTAGGGTTAAAAATGTAAGAGGGTACAGGTAATAGGTAATTTACCTTCAGTTTAACCAAAATTTCCCCTAAAAAAGATCAAATGGGCAAAAAAAAATGCAATATGGCAAATAAATCATTTTCTTAAGAGAAATTAGAGATAGCATTCGAATCAGGTTATATCAGCATAACTGTACTGTATACTGTATTTTACTGGTTCACATCTCTTCATTTTCAAAATCAATTTCTGATGAACTGAAACAGATATTGATTTAATGGTGGCCCTGCTCACTGCCAGGCAAAATGATGTTGAATTCACAGCCGAAGATAATCCATCAACTGAAAAATAATCTCTGTCAATATCCACAAGGACTCCTTATGTTGTATAAAGGACTCTCATAAACCCCATAATTTTTTGGGAGGTTATTATAATATAGAACCTCTGTAAACCAGTTTCTCTTGGGCAAAATTTCTATTAGGCACATTCTTGTGGGGTTTACCGTGCTTCATTGTTTTGGCATTTACATAGGTCCTCAGGCAGTGAAAAGTGAAAGTTTGAAACATGAAGCATCTAGAATGAACTTGAAAGTAGTGATTCAGAAAAAGAATTTACAGCTAAAGCAAAGGGAGCAGACACAACTCGATTGAATGCTGAAGCTCATTCAATGTTGAAAGGTAGTGAAGAGCTGCAAAGATGTGCAAAAAGGAGAAAGTTGTGACAAAGAAAAAAAAAGAGAGGACAGTTTGCAAAAAATATCGGTTCTTTAACACGTTGCCTGTCCTGACCCCCTGAACTTTATTACCCCCATCCTGTCCCTACCTTCTCCCATCCATTCAGCATGAGCGGGAACAGTTTTATATTTATTTTATGCATTAGTTCAACCTTACAATTTTTTTTTTTACACCATCAGACATAGGGGAGTCTGTAGAATATATTAACATGGATGTAGGTAGCCTGTGGTTGTTAGACTTTTCTTGATGCCATTACTTACTATGTCTTGCCTCACATACCAATCCCAGATTTTCCACATATGAGGGCATGGCTGCCTTGTTGGTCTGCCCATTTGCTGTTGTAGATACACTTGTGAACAGTGTGGATAGAGGCTGCAGGATGAAGGGCTGTTCCAACATGGAGAATCTTGAGATCGAGGCTGATGCCTAAGAGGAATTTGGGATGACCAGAAGAAAGTCCCTGGCATGAGGAGCATTCACTGCCTGCAGACACACTTTAGGTCATGTGGTGCTCTCTCAAGTACTATATGTCCAGGGTAATAAATATTTTTGTTTATACTGCTGACCACTTCTGTGAGTATAATTTTTAAAACTGGAGGCACCCCTGATGATGATGATGAGGGATGTAGTACAGTTGTCATTTACTGGTATGCCTGTACAGGTATTTAGAAATTCCTTAGTATTATGCCATTGGACAGGATGATTTAGGCTTTCTTGTTAAAGTCAAAATATGATGTTAGTAAATATTTTGTTACAGTATGGAGCACTGACGTCAAAGAACCTTGCTTTTTTGGAAAAGGAAATGTGTGAGCTGCTGGCAGTGTTGCGACCCCGGGCAGTGTCCCTTGTGGATGCCTTTGATATGCCTGATGCACTTCTCAACTCCACTTTGGGGTCTTGGGATGGAAATGTTTATCAGAGGTAATTTCAAACTAGAGTGTGTGTATTTTTAACTACATAACAGCATTTTATCATCTGGCTTGAATATCTGTGGTTCCCTCGTCTTTGGTGAGTGGCTTTTGTGCTTCTTTTTCCAAAAATGAGAAAGAGAAGAGAGGAGACCTTCCTTTCTCTTCCTTTCTCTCTTTCAATAGAGATGGTAAGAGAGGAGTGAGAAGAGAGTGAGTTTGTTGTGTTAGTATGCTCTTTTGAACCATTCCCAGTGTAAAACTCTAAGAACTTTTCACGTTGCTTCTTGATATCATATAGTACAATATTGTTATGTTACCAGCACCGCAACACTCCCTTAGGTTACACACTTCAAGCAGGGTGTCATGTTTATTAGCTAGATCATATACACTTCAGAATGAGAATTCGTCATGCCTTATTGCCCCAGAACAGGAAGAAAATTAAAATTTCTTATCTTAGTTCAGTTAACTTTATCATTACAGCACGAGTCTAATATTTTAATATGAAATTCTTTGTCGTGATCTTTTTCAGACTGTTTGATGAAGCCCTCAAGAGTCCTTTGAATAAAACAGATGTACCTGATGCATATTACAAGTACCTCCGTCCTCTTATGAAATCTAACCTTTGAGGCCAAATGTTTAAAAACAGTCACTGCTTCTATGATGTTGTAATAGTAGTAGCAGAAAATAAACCTTTTCCTTTATTGTTAATTGGGATGGTTATCAAGTTTATTTACTTACTGTATTTGGTACATAAATAGTTTAAAGTCATTATTTTGTGTGGGGTTGCAGAATTGTAAGTTTCCAGCATTTTCTTTTAAGTTTGTTGTTTTTTATTACAGGTTGACAATCCCTTATCCGAAATCCTTGGGGCCAGAGGAATTTCGGATTTCGGAATTTTTCGGTTTTCAGAATGGTTAGTTTTTTTTTTTTTTAACGTGTATTAGCCCACCGGGCATAGATCACTGACCCACATCAGGGCCTGGGGGAATATAATAAAAATTATAATAATAATTCATAGGTCTAGGTCGTGTTTCTCACTTTTGATCTTTTTTTCATTCTTGTATTTCTTTATTATTATTATTATTTTATTATTACAGTACTCCTGTATTATTGTTATTTTTATTAATTTTATTATTATATATTATTATTATTTATTAATGTTATCATATTATTTTATTTTGGTATATTTTTATTAAAATTTTTATTCACTATGAATAATTATTATTACTATTACAATTATTATTACTATTACATTTTCGCTCCCCAGGCCTGATGTGGGTCGATGATCTATGCCAGGTGGGCTAATCCTGTTAAAAAAAAAAAAAAAAAGTCCCACAAAAAAACTTTCGGATAAAGGGTTGTCAACCTGTATTATTATTATTATTATTTTTATTAATATTATATTATCATTACAGTATTATTATTTATTTTATTTTATTTATTTATTTTTTTTGCATACAAAAACTTATTCCAAAGGTCAGTAATAATAATAATAATAATAATAATAATTAACGGTTTATTGAAAAAATTCTTCAGCCCGGGGAGACCTAATTGAGGTGTATAAGCATCTCAAAGGGAACTACTCGGTCGATTGCCCTTACCTGGAGTTGGCAGATGCTTGCCCCACGAAGGGTCACAGCTCAAAGTTGAAGCTGCAAGCCCAGAAAACTGTGAGGGGTAACTTTTTCGGAGTGAGAGTTGTGAACTCTTGGAACGATCTGCTAGGGAGTGTTTTGACGGCGCTGAGTGTGAGCTCTTTCAAAACCAGACTTGATAAGCACTGGAGCAGGTTCAGATACATCTCAGAAGCCAGTGCATGCCCAGTACTTGCCAACAGTGCATAACAGAGACGTGACCGATCGCCCAAGTGGCTAACGAGCCGATGAGTGGTAAAGAGAATAAAAGTAAAAGTAAGTGAAGACACCAGTACACCAACATTGCACTGGGGCTGGCCGGCTGGGCAGCTGTTTGCCTTTGATTTAAAAAGAAAAGCCCCTGTAGTACAATCCAATCCAGGGGTGAGGGTGGGATCCTGTGTACAGCCTCAGGAACGTAACTCATTCGTAAGTGGCAGAGGAGCACGTGTATATACCGTATACTGTATATATATATATATATATATATATATATATATATATATATATATATATATATATATATATATATATATATATATATATATATATATATATATAATATATATATATATATATATATATATATATATATATATATATATATATATATATATATATATATATATATATATATATATATATATATATATATATATATATATATATATATATATATATATATATATATATATATATACCCACACACACACTACTGGTATATAGTGAAAAGTTTATTAGACTAAACTACATTAGTATGTGATTAAATATTACTACCGGTATTAGAATACAATACAGTAAGTTCTCGCTTAATGTCAGGGTTATGTTCCTGAAAACGCGACGTTGTACAACACACGTTAAGTGGATAAATTTTCCCCATAAGAAGTGGATAAAATATGGGAGTTACGTTCCTGAGCCTCCCTTTTCCCCATGAAATACATTACTTATACAGAAAATCATTACCATTTCTATAGAAAATAATGCATGCATATACAACTACCAAGTTTGTATGGGTACTCATCAATGGGCGGAGGTGGTAGAGCGAGTGAGTGGTGGGTAGTGAATCTGAGGGGGCAGACGGCGGGACTTGATAATACCTGACCTCAATGAGGTGAGGTATTATCCTCAAATTCCTGACACGAAGTCCTCAGGTCAGGCTAGGCTGAGGTAAGCACTCACAGCCTGTCAAGTGGGGATTATGGGCTGCCCTGACCTGGCAAACTCGTGGTTGCTGTTCCCCAGTCTAATAATAATACACATTTTATTCAGTTAGACCTAGGTAATTAATTTGCTAAAAGGTTTACAGCAAAGTCGAAAGAGTTCTTTGAAAGAAAGCATGTTGATTTAAAATGCCGTCAGGAACAGATCTTTGAAGTGTCACACATAAGTACTTGTGCTTTGCTGGCTTCTTATAAAGTAGCACTTCGAGTTGCTAAGGCTAAAATGCCATACACAATCGGTGAGACGCTAGTGATAGGCTGTGTTAAAGATGTCTGCATGGAAATGCTGGGCGAGCCGGCAACAAGGAAAGTGGCTCGGGTGCCACTTTCAAATGACACTATAGCTCGACGAATTCACGATCTGGCTCACGATATGGAATATCAGCTCACAGGACAGATTAAATTAGCAAAGTACTTTTCTTTGCAGCTTGATGAATGTACAGACATTGCTAATATGGCAATTCTGCTGGTGTATGTACGCTTTGAACATGAGGGTAATTTGAAGGAAGATTTTTTTCTCTGCTTCACTCCCAACAAAAACAACTAGTTCTGAAGTGTTCAAGACTGTGACTACATCGTTAACAAATGTGGGTTGGGTTTCAAGTTTTGTGTAGGCGTATGTTCTGATGGCGCTGCCGCAAAGATAGGACGGCATTCGGGAGTGGTTACCCAGATCAAGGTGCTTGCCCCAGAATGCAAGTCGACCACTGTTTCCTTCACCGAGAAAGTCTTGCAACAACAAAAAAAGTCAACAGAGCTAAACAGTGTGCTCATCGAGGCTGTAAAAATTGTGAACCATGTAAAGGCAAATGCTTTGAATTCGAGACTATTCAATGCATTATGTGATGATATGGGAGCTGATCATAAACAGCTCCTATTGCATGCCGATGTACGTTGGTCCTGTCAAGAGTATTTGAGCTACGAAACGAGCTTGCCAAGTTTCTTCAGGACAAAAAACCAAATTGGTCACAATTGTTCCGAGATGTGGATTGGCTTGCCAAGCTGGCTTATTTGGCTGATATCTTTTCCATCTTTAATGATCTCAACACCTCCATGCAGGGAAGTATGGCTTCGTGTTTTACAATGGCAGACAAGATAGACAGACAAAACGAAAGCTAGAAGCATGGAAGAGTCGAGTGTCAAGAGATTGTTATGGTATGTTTCGCCAATTAGCGGCAGTGATCGCCGATGCAGGCAAAGACCTTAATGTTACATCTTTACAAATTGTCATCAGAGAACACTTGACGAATTTGGCAGAACGTTTTCAGCATTACTTTCCAGCAGAAGATCCACGGAAAGGGAATGGATGGATCCGAAATCCATTTATGCCATTGAGAGATGACTTTAGTGTCACTATGGAGGATAAACTGTTGGAGCTGACTGCTGACGAAGGATTGAAGATGAGTTTCGAAACTACAACATCACTTGGTTCCTTTTGAATAAAAGTGAAAGCAGAATATCCTGAGCTTACTGAAATTGCTCTGAAAACTCTTCTCCCATTTCCTTCAACATACCTCTGCGAGACTGGCTTCTCAACCATGAGTGTCATTAAGACAAAGTACAGGAATAGTATGGATATTCATTCTCCATTTCGCGTGGCACTGTCCTCAATTGAACCACGATTGGATAAGCTGACAAAGAAGAAGCAGCTCACCTTTCAAATTAGTAAAGGTTAAGGTTTTAACATGCCTATTATTGTGTTAATAAAATAACCATCAATTTCATATTTTTGTATTACAACATATTTTCAAAATTGTTATGTCTTCAATTTAATGTTGCCTATTCCTTTCAATCTTTGTTTTAACGTCTTTATGCACTGGGGTTTAAAATAACTAAAATATTAAATTTTTTTTAACCTACTTTATTCATTATAATTTTTCATTTTATTACTTATACTGTATATACATATGTTTATAATATCTTTGTTAGAAGGCTTTGCTAGTTTGATTTTTTAATATTTTTTATTTATATTGTAATATTGTATTACTTGTTTACAAAAAAAATAAAAAAAAATAAAAAATTGTCAACTTTTATCATATTCATTATATTTTTCCGGTATAAATTAATATTACTACAAATGTTCAAATAATATTTTCTCAGATCGTAAGCAAATAATAATATGGCACAAAAATGGTACCGGTCCTTGACACATTGGAAAAAAACCAGCCGGTCCGCCACATCAGATAGTTTGAGAAGCACTGCTTTAGAATACAAGGATCATCATGATGATAATCGTTTTTCTTTGTTTCTTGTGATTTTTTTTTACCAATCTTTCCTTCACTGTCATTATCACTTATTCCTCCTTTTGTGTGTGTGTAGTATCATGAGGAAATCCAGACCTTTTTGATGTAATGAAAAAATCGACCTGTGACAAGAGAATGGTCTAATCAGTCATCAAAAAAGTTGATCAAAGTAGAGTGAGGAAGCTTAAACTACATGGTTACTGTACACCGCAAACAGATAAGACTCGTATATTTACACAGAAATAAACATAATACTGAACATGAAAAACTTATTCATATCATTAATAAAAGGGGATTATGTAAATGTAAATGATTATGATACAACTTGGATAAAAACATAAAACCATACAAACATAATATAGTTAACAACAAATAAAAGTTTTTCTTGCTGCTTTACGTTTTAATGAAGGGGAAAAAATGACATTATGAAAAAGTACATGCTAAATCAATTTATTATTGTTCTCCGGGCGAGAGATGGCACTTGCCTGTTCTCAGTGCATAGTTCTCTAATACGTTGTTAATAAGAATAGTATTTAATATTATGTACAGTTCCGTTCAGAAGTTCGTGGTACACTGGCGGTGAAGGGTGCATAGCCTGTTGTACCCTTCCT